TGTGTGTGTGTGTGTGTGTGTGTGTGTGTGTGTGTGTGTGTGTGTGTGCTGTTGGCAAAAATTCATCCCTATTTTTCCTTTTGTCCTTTTGGAAAATGCTCAAAATCAGTTGGTTTTAAAGACCACTCACCCAAGGAGAGCTCTTTGGGGAGCTGTAATTTTGCATGTTATACGATCATAGAGACATTTCAGAAGAAAGGTAGAAACTGGAATCCAGCTGTTCCAGAATAAGCCTTGGATTAAACATCAGGTCATTTCATGGCACTGTTAACTTGGCAGGAAGTTGTCTGCTGGTATGTGCGGGGTATGGGGTGTGAGATATGGATGCGTTAGTTTTAAAGATTCACCCATCTGGGTTCTTTATCATCCACGCTGACCATCACCCCAGGGTAGACTTTACCACATTTACTTAGTCATGAGTAACTCACTGTGCAGATAGTTAGCAAAACCATTGTCCTAATACGTGTTGGTGGTGCTCAGTGAGGTATACCAAGTCCTCACCCACCAGCTTATTTCAGGACCGCTGGTGACCATAGCGCTCCATGTAAAGGATGGCTGTTTTATACCAGGTGATAAGTATGTGGTTGTGGACAGTGGCGGTGGCACCGTAGACCTGACAGTCCACCAGATACGGTTACCAGAGGGACACCTTAAAGAACTGTATAAAGCAACAGGTGAGCCTCTGCATGACTAATTTTCTCATACCTGAGCTGTGTCTCTCCTTTCAGATTTCTCTCAGCAGTTCATTTTCTCAGTGCCACCAGCATGTGGGAATGTTGGCGGGACAGGATACCAAAGCCTGCATGATTTTAGAGAACAAAATGCTGTTAAATGTTCTTTAAAACGCCAACCAATCATGACTGGGGTTTTGGCATAAAGTGAGCCTGTTTCAGATCCTGGCCAAGGGAGTTTGTTTCTGAAAGTTCTGGAAGGATGTGATTGTAACCTGATGTCACCTACGATTTGATGCTATGGTTAAGCTTTCTAATGAGGTCTTGGTCTTGAATCAAGATTGCCAAACCAAAGAGCAGGCTCTTTCTGAAGCTGGTGGGGGTGGGGATGAAGAGTGAAGACTCAGTGATAGGGACCAGGTACCACCTGCTGTTTTACAGCTCCTGTTCTTGAATTTCTTGGGTAGGAATACCGTGATATTTCTCATTAGTTAAATGTGCTGATTTTATTTAAAATGTAATTGATTTTAAATAGATTGTTGTCAGGTGATTTCTGTAGGACCAAGTGTCTTTGCGTGGAGTGAGAACCTACAGAGTTTTAAAATGTAAGTAAAAACAGAGAGCTGCAGTCTGCTTGCTAAGTGGGTCCAAGTTTGTGGTACTTTCTGTTTCGGAGATGAGCACAGGATAGGCTGTTTCTCAGAGTTTGGACTCCGTTTCTGATGGTTTTTAACATGGTGGGTTCACATTCTGATTCAGGTGGACCCTATGGATCCTTAGGAGTAGACTATGAATTCGAAAAACTTCTGTGTAAAATATTTGGAGAGGATTTTATTGAGCAATTCAAAATCAAGCGTCCTGCGGCCTGGGTTGACTTAATGATTGCGTTTGAGTCTCGCAAGAGGGCAGCTGCCCCGGACCGAACTAACCCGCTGAACATCACCCTGCCCTTCTCCTTCATCGACTACTACAAGAAGTTCCGTGGTCACAGCGTGGAGCACGCCTTGAGGAAGAGCAAGTGAGTTGGACTCATCTCTGGCCCAGGTCATTCTAGGGAATGGATCATGTTGATAGGAAGCAGGGGGCTAGGGTAGATTCTGATTTCCAATGCTACACACTCGCTGTGTGACCTTGGGTAAGTGATTCAACTTCTCTGTTCCCCCATTTTTTCATCTGGAAAATGGGATAATTCCATTTACCTCAAAAGGTTGTTGTGGAAATGAAATGGATTCATATCTGTTAGGTGCTTAGCACAATGCCTGGGACCTGGAAAGTCTCTACCCTGTTGGTCCCCTACCAATGTGTTAACTGTTACTAGGGACTAAAAAAATAGAAACTTTATGAAAGCAGGGAATTTTGCCTGTTTTGGCCTCTGTTATATCCCTGGTGTCTACAACAGAACCTGGTATACACAGAGTAGGTACTCAGTAAATAGTTTTGTGGAATGAAATCCCATGGGAGTCTTAAGTTTCCTGCTACTATGAGTCCTTGGCTGCAGGCAAGTGTTTGTAGTCCAACTTGTTGCACAAGAATATATTTGGAAGATGTTTTCAAGTTGAGTTTTTAAAGTAATAGGCAAAAATCATAGATGTGTTAAAAACTTTTTTATAGTGGAAAATTCCAGACATTTACTATGTAAAGTGAACATCATTATCCAGCTTCAAAAACGGTCATTCCTGCCAGTCTGAACCCTCATCTACCCTCTCCCAATTATTTTAAAGCAAATTTCAGATCATCATCTAATCCATAAATATGTTGGTATGTATCTGTAAAGGTGATAAACTTAAAATCATAACTATAGTACTATTATCACACTTAAAATTAGTAATTCTTCAATACCATCAAATATCTATTTAACATTAAAGTTTTTCCAATTGTCTCATTTTTTTTGCATTAGATCCAATTGGCAGCCATACATAGCAGTGATCTGATTTGCCTGTTAAGTCCCACTTAATAAATAGGGTTCCCCCTCCTGTGTTTTCTTTGTAATTTATTAGGTGACAAAGCAGATTGTTTGTCCCAGAATTTCCTACTGTCTGGGCTTTGCTCACTGCTTACCCACACAATGTGTTCTTCTGTCCCCTGGTACTTTTTACAAATTGGGAGATTGAGGCAGAGGTTCAATCAGATTTAAATTTGAGTTTTTGGCAAATCTGCTTCATGGTTGGTAGTATTTCCTATTGCATCAGACTAGGGCACACATAGTGCTTGTTTGTCACTTCTTTTGTGATATCAGTGGCCACAGATGCACACTGCCTGGGTCCATGAACCTAAGGGTGGCCCCATGATTCTCCCATTATTCTATCACTCCTTCCTTAAGTAGCTAGAATATTTCTGTAGAGAGGAACTTTTCTCCTCAAAGGTTTGACTTTCCCGAAGTCCAGTCCATATTGGAAAGCCATGACAAACACTTGGTCCTTTCCCTCCATTTATACATCTTTTGTTAAAATTGTTGATTTCCTAGCACGCTGCAAAGAGACAAATGAATTTTTTTCTTATATGGGGGCACATTAAGTATTCTTGGATTTAAGCATTTTGGTACATTTTAACCATGGCAGTTATATCCTTATTGATACTCAAATTGACTCATCTTGGCAGTAGGAGCTTCTTCACGTTGGCTGCTGAGTCTCACTGACGTGACATTTGAGGTCTTTGACAGCCTAGGCCTTCTGGTATGTGAAGATGCTCTAGGCTCATCTGGCGTATTCCCTACCCTAATCCTGCAATTGGCACTTCCTCTAAGAAGCCCTTTCCTTTAGTGGGAAACAAAGTGGATTTGATTCCAGGTCTTCTTGACCTTGGAACAGGGTCCTAGCTGAACTCCTACTAGGCTAGATGTTTTCTCTACCCTGTTGGTCTCCTACAAAGGCACCTACTCCAGGTAAATCCCAAGTCCTACCTGCACAATGCTGGGGGCTGCTAGCTCTCCTACTGGGTCCCCTGGCTGCAGCCGGCCATTGGGTCACTCCATACCACACCACACCGCATTGTCCTTTGGCCTTGGCCACGGAAAGAATTCCTGGCTGGGGAGACGTGGCAGCATTGAGAATGTGATGCTGGGAAGCAGCTGGTATGTGCTTTGCTTCAGGAACCGAAAAACCATTGGCTTGGTCCCTTTGAACTTTAGAACAGGTGGGGCATGCATTGCCGAAACAGTCCCTAGCATTCCTTTAGTGTCAGAAAGTTTCCAAAGTGTTCTCACGGGCAGGGTACTTAATTTGATCTTCACAACAACCCCTGTGAGGGGGCAAGGCAACTGGCATTATTCCTGATTTCCAGATGAGAAGACCAGAGCTCAGAGAAAAATGTAGGCCAACTTGCTAAAGTCCCACAGCTACTGCATGAGGGAGGCCAGGCTGGAGCCCAGCAATCCCGACTCCCTGTCCAGTGCTTTGGACGCGCCACACCTTTGACAGAGATAATGAGAGGCATCTGGTAGGATTAGGCTCAACACTGCCATGGGGCAGGTGCCCGCCAAGGCTGAAGGAGATGCTCCTGAGCACGCAGGTTGCTACCCTTCAGTGGCAGTGCAGGTGATGATTGTGTGTACCTTTAATAGACTCGATTCCACCTATTGCTGGATTCAAAATGTGGTCATCCAACCGACAGAGATCTCTGTATTTATGTCCCTATCCTTTGTACTAGACTGTAGCTTCCACTGTTCCAGGGGAAGGGTGGGCCACAACCAAAAGCAAGGAGAACTGGAGAGCTTATGTCTTAGCTTTTGAGCTGCTAAGGGTCCAGATCCTGGCAGTTCAGGGTATGTCCAAGGACTTTCCTAACTCTCTCTGCCCCCCTGTGATGTGACAGCTGCTCTGCCGGGACCCCCGTCTGTGCAGACTAGCCTAGGAATTATTCATATGCTCAGCACTTGTTTCTCTCTGTGCCACGCCCTACAGTGTGGATTTTGTGAAGTGGTCCTCGCAGGGGATGCTGAGGATGAGTCCAGACGCAATGAATGCCCTTTTTAAGCCGACCATTGACAGCATCATCGAGCATCTCCGTAAGTACCAGCCAGGGCTCGGCCACTCAGCGGGGTAGAGCCAAGAATGGGGACTGACTGTTCTAGCATCACCAGCCAGTGGGGTGCAGGGGGTCCCAGCTGGGAGCCACAGGCCAGAGCCCCTGTAGGAGTAGGCAGGGCCTGGGCACGTAGGAGGCTCACTCGAGGGAGGCTGTGGGGCACAGGCTCTGGAACCCTCCCACCAGGTCCTTCAAGCAGCTGGGAGCCTGTCTGCACTCAGGCATTCCATTTGCCTTTGGAAGTCAGACAGCTAAGACTCTACAGCAGTACTTTTCTCGAGGCCCTAGGGAATACACTGTCTTTCCTTTATCAGAACCGTAGCCCTTGCTGGGGAGAAGGAGCTGTTGTGTGGGCACAGGGGGCAGACAGCCTCTGGCCATGCGGTTGTCCTGCTATCTCGGTGGCCCCCACCCAGGGACACCTAGTAGACTCACTGGGGACCTTCTTCAGTATCCAGGCCTCACATCCACTTACCACCCCTTGCTAACCAAATCAGAAGCCCTAGGAGAGGGATGGGATCTTTATGAAAACCAAAGAATGATACTGATGACAGCCTGCCTTGACCCACTTAATAGGACCACAGGTTCGGAGAGTGCCAGATGCATTTGTGCCTAACAAATCACTACTTAAATGACCACCACCTCTCTGTTCGAATGGTGTCTATTTAGCAGTAGCTTTGCTTTTTATTCCTGAGCATATCCATGTGCAAGCCCCCTTTCTAAAGATGACCAGCTCTACAAGAATTCTGTTCAACCAGCTCAGACTAAGCCTGTCCTCCAGTTGGCCCAGTGGTTCTGTCCATTCTCCACATTCTCGGCCACTCTGTCCCCCTTGGCTGCTGACTTTTGGTGACTGGAAGCTGTCCCTCCTCTTCTCTTCCAGGGGACCTGTTTCAGAAGCCCGAAGTGTCCACTGTCAAGTTCCTCTTCCTGGTGGGCGGCTTTGCGGAAGCGCCCCTCCTGCAGCAGGCCGTGCAGGCTGCCTTCGGCAACACGTGCCGCATCATCATCCCCCAGGACGTGGGCCTCACCATCCTCAAGGGTGCTGTCCTCTTCGGCCTGGACCCTGCTGTCATCAAGGTGCGCCGGTCCCCACTGACCTATGGGGTGGGTGTGCTGAACCGCTATGTGGAGGGCAGGCACCCGCCTGAGAAGCTGCTGGTGAAGGACGGCACTCGCTGGTGCACCGATGTCTTCGACAAGTTCATCTCTGCTGACCAGTCGGTGGCCCTGGGCGAGCTGGTCAAGCGTAGCTACACCCCGGCCAAGCCCTCCCAGCTGGTCATTGTCATCAACATCTACAGCTCTGAGCATGACAACGTGAGCTTCATCACTGACCCTGGGGTGAAGAAGTGCGGCACGCTCCGCCTGGATCTCACGGGGACCAGCGGCACGGCCGTGCCCGCCCGGAGGGAGATCCAGACCCTCATGCAGTTCGGGGACACCGAGATCAAGGCCATGGCCATCGATATAGCCACCTCCAAGAGTGTCAAGGTTGGGATTGACTTCTTAAATTACTAACCAGCCACCCCGCCACCTGCTCCCTCGGACCCAGCTCACCTGCATCCGCTGACCTCAACCCTGACTGTTCTTTCCCTGTCCTTGACCCTTGCCTCTGCCCACCTGAATTTCAGCAGGGAAGATGAGAACAACCAGGGATAGAAATAATTTGGAATTTTTGAGGGCACACTGGAGTCAGAAAAACTGTCGGAACTTGAGATCCAGGTTTGGGGATAAGAAAAGATCTAGAAAAGCAGCTAGTTTTCGTAGGCACACAGTGGTGAAACACCCACCCAGCAAGGGGATCCATGCATATCTGCAGCAGTGGCTGAGCCTGCTCCGAGCAGATCTCCATTTAGTGAACTTCGGATGCTATTGCTATCTTTCTAGATTTGAAATAAGATCCTTGAGCCGGGAGGGATTCTTCATCTCTTTGAGGCTTTCCTTTTTACATCTTTTGGATGGCAGTCAATACAAAATGCCACCCATCTGCAGTTAATTCCTTTTCATCATCATGTGATTAAAAGTGGTGATTCAGTGGGAATGGGGAGTGTTTGTAGCCGGTGGGAGAAGACTGCCTACACTGGGCACTATTTTAGGTTCTCATAATTTAAAGTCCAAATAGGTTTAGTGAAGAAAAATGGTAGCCTCAGCTTATCCACTAGGATTTATGTGAGTGGGGTAGCTGACCCCTCAACTTCTCAGCAGGGAAAAACTTGATTCGAGGGAAATGGATATTAAATCAATGCTGACATATCTCAAATTATATGCTGTGACATAATTCCCCAAGTGCCAAATCCTGATTTCTGAATTCATAAGGGATTCTAGTTAACCTTAGGGGGATTCTGTGAAGAAATAAGGTTGCAGTTGGCTTTGTTCACATCACCAAGCCCAGGAGTCCGGAACAATCCTTCACCTTAACAAGCATATGTACTTAAAATTTTAACTTTCTCCTCCCTGACCACCCTCATCTCCCTGAGAGTCTGGTCCATGTAGTCCCACATTTTGAAAATAATACATCGGTGATAGATACACAGGCAGAGAAGCTGTTCTTGGAAATGTTTCACTAAAATCATCAGCTTTTAAAGTCTATTTAAAAGGAATTCATAGATCTGTACTTGATAAATTCAGCCACGGTTTTTCAGAGCAGATTTGAGCATCATCAGGATGGGAACTGCCTGGATGCTTCTTAAATACGGGTTTCTGGGTCCCATCTCTTCCCCTTCAGGAAATGAAGTCAAGTCTTGGAGAGAGGAACCAGAATCTGCATTTTTAGTAGGTGCCACAGGGGACTGTAGTCCCACTGAGATTTGAGATCTAACTTTAGGTTTTGTTGAAAGATGAAGCACAGACGGGAGCTTGCAGCCTCTGGCCTTCCTCTTCGGGGTCCCCTGGGGGAGGGTTTACAAGTGAAGAGCCCTGATCCCACTCCTTCCTTTCTTGTGACGGGGCTGGGGCTCCACCAGGCACGGGGATGGTGTTTTCAGCCCCCACAGGAAGGGCCTGGAGAGGAAAAAAATTCAAAGGCCATATTCTGAGGATGGGGCTGAGGACCCTGTGTCTGCATTCTCCACTCCCATCCCCACCTGCAAAGCCGGTCGTCTTCAACATTCAGGAACCATCTGAGGAAAAAGAATAAAGAATCTGACGTGCAACCCACCTGATCTTTTCAAAGCTGTCTTTTCCACGTGCTGGAATTCATTCCGATTTAAATCCCTGGAAGCATGAATAATGAATGAGGGAGGATGAGCGAACTCACTTTGAATGCAAGCTGGAGGCAGAAACCATTACCACAGCCCATATGCAGATTTTAAATGGCATTTCCAAGTTCATTTTAACATGTCTTCTTTCTCACTTCGCCTGCTGCAGAATGCCCTCCTTGAATGTGGAACATGAATAAACCACACAACTAGAGAATGCTAGTCACATGACTCGGTGGCCAGATCTCACACCCAGGCACAAGGGTGTGTTTGCCAGGGTTCTCTTGCTGCCTGCTCTGCTTCAAAAGCTACACGTTATGGGGTCTGTCTTTGGTGTTGCCAGCCATATTCTGCAAATAAGACTTTTCAATTTAGTTATAAGTAATATAATTTTATGTACATACACTATTAGAATATTGTACAGAATCTTTATTTCTACAATACGCTTTTCTTGTTGGAAAGAAAAAAAGGAAAATGCTCTTTGAATCTTGTTGATGACATTGCTGCCTTTAATTGTTCATGGTTTCATTTCTTAATTGTCTTACTAATTGATTTGTACCAATGCTAAACTATAGACTATGTATGCAAGACTAAGCAATAGACTAGGGTCAGAATATTCTGAACAAATGGACCACCTGGATCAACAGCTTCATTAGACCCTTCTGTGTGCACCTCCTTCCCAAAGGGTCCCAAGTTATATTTAAAGGAGCATAATAATGTATCAATTCTCCTGTCCAGTCCTTGAGAGCTGAACATTCTAGTTCTGTTAGCAGTGTGACTGCAGAGACAGACCTATGAAGACTCGGTGTCCCTGTAGGGTTATCACCCTCTGCTTGTGGGGCAGAGCCGTCACCCTGAGGGCAAAGTGTGGACCACCACTTGTGGTGGCACAGTCAAGTCCTTTTTTTGGCTAATGTAGGACCTTTCCCACCTTGCACTGAGGATGTCTCATCTATTTCTCTGAAACGAGCTGGTTGAAATCTGCAATGTTGGCACATAGATGATGGAGAGGGGGTGATAATTTTACTGGACTTAATTCTGGCCCCAGAGATGCTGCCCCATTAGTTGAACTTATTAAAGGGAATCCCCCAATCCATCCCACCTCCTCCCTCCTGGAAATATTCTGGAATGAGAGCCCTGGATAAGTTCATCTGGACACATTTTATAACCTTAGATAGTTTCTAAAAGGCCTGTTGTCTTGACCCATTACTCAGTTGCCGCTGGCATGTACTATCTGATGTTCATGTTTCTTGGAAGCAGAACTATCTCAGGATTTCTTTTGTTGCTGCCTTTCTGTCCACAGCAGCTATTACTAAGTGCTGAGTGACAGGCAAGCCACAGACATACAAGACAGGCAAGAAGAAAGAAGAGACAGACAAGACTTTTTACAGTGATGGCTAAGATGAGTCCAGATTATAGAGTCCACCCTACCCTTAGAATGTTATTTAAATCAAGTTTAGCTTTTAGAGTCCAGGTCTGGTTAATTGCCAGGGTGGCAAAGAATCGCATGCATCAATATAAACAGGAGTCAAAATGCATTATTAGTTGAAGATCGAATTTCACATTGTAGAGATGAAATAGCTGTGATTAAGCTGCATATTTATGCTGGGAAATGGCTTAAGTGAATGACTAGTATAAAAGTTGTTGGCCATAATGTCACACTTCTCATCTGCTTGGAATATGGAACTATATTCTAAACTATCAGCCATTGGGGTCTTGTTCACTACAAGATCAATTCACACTTCACAGAACTTTTCAGCCATTCACAACTTGACAAGATTGTACCCGCAAACTCTGTCTTCACAGATGTCTAATAAAGCAAAACTCTGGATCTCAGTGTGGCCCAGACTTCTTTTTCTGCACTCTGACTTTGTCAGTGGAATTACAGATCCATCATTACTGACCTCCCTCTCCATCCCATCTCAGGTGGAGATTGATTTTTGGGCCTTTTCCTAGGTGTTGCAGGCTTTATTAAAGTTCATTCCAATAAGACTGGCTCCTTTGTTCACTGGGAACCCAGGCTGCATCGATGCCCACCAAGCTAAAGGAAGCAGGCAGGCTGGAGAGAAGACATGAGCCAGGGTGGCCCACGTCCTTAAAATGAAAGTCCTTTGGAAAAAAGTAGAAGGCGGGGACTGGTGCCTGGCCCCCTGGTCTCCTGGTAGGCGTACCAAGCTGGCTGCTGCATCTAGAGTCCTGGGTGTATTACAGCTCTATGTCTGGGTCACCCTCCTGAGTTGGCCCTAGAAGCTTCTGCGTAGTCCGAGGTGGGGTCCTAGGACCCAGAGGGAGGTAATAGATTCTTCCCAAGTGGGTAGATCCATCAGCCTTCAGCTGGTTTCAGTTCCCAGGAGAGCAGAGGTGGGGGAGGCTGGGAGGTGCAGGAAAACAAACGTGGGAAAGCGGTGTCGGCAGGCAGGCAGGTGTAGGCTTCTCTCTGTGCAGGAAACAGCTGGGCCCAGCAGCCTGTGGAGGCCACTCCTACCCTCTGGGCATCCTGGTTTCAATCCAGCGAGAGGAAGGCTTGGGCCCCCACTTTGACCCCCAAAACTGAGGCTGGTTAGAAAGGACCTTGGCCCCACTTCCCTGGCACCCCGCTGTCATTGTGGCACATCACCCCTTCCTGCCCCCTCACCATCCAGGCCTTCTGGAAGTACGGTCTTTACTGATAAGGAACAAGACTAGGGGCAGCGGTGGGGGAGGCCCAAACTGTCATGGCCAAGGCCTCTCCCGCCGGGCCCAACTGCAGCCTCTACAGTGGGAAAGGCGGCTGGGATGTGGCAAGGGCCTTCCCTTGGCCCGGCTGTTCCCCCACCGACAAGAGCGCCCGGCCGCGGAGACCATGTGCAGCTATTTAAACCGACTTCACAGGCCGAGATGTGCTGGACAAATCCCTGGCTTTCACGCCCAGGTCCATGCCGAGCTGGAGCAGGGTGAGCATCGCCATGTCCACTTGGCCCCCGCAGCGCGCGGCAGGCTGAGGAGGGGGCGGGGCCATCTGCCGGCCCCGCCCCGTACGCTGCGCGGTGAGCACACAAAGGCCGGGAGGCCGCAGAGGCCGGGCCAGGTGAGCGCCGCTGCAGCGGATGAGGCAAGGGCTGCGCGGCCGTCCCTGACTCCTGGCTGGGTCCCTCCACCTACCTCCTCCCTCAGGGCTGGCCGGCGGGAGGGGTCTGCAGGCCCCGGTGCGCACCTGGGCTACATATCCTGCCCTCGGAGCGGGAGGTCATCTGCTCGGACTTCCTTGGATGTTAGAACCCTCAAACAAATCACTTAGCCGGTCTGTGCCTCATTTATGGGGACTCGAATAAGCGCTAACCCTTAGGGCGGCTGTGAGGATGTAACAAGAACGCAGAAGCGCCTTCAGCCCCGTCACAGCGAGCGTTCTGTAAATGTCTGAACTGTGTTAAAAATTCCCATCGTTGCTGACCAAATCCTGACTGTGGACCTCCCCTCCACACCTGAGGCCACCCGCCCTGGCCTCCAGGGAAGCCCTTTGAGAGATGAACCGGGTTGGCAGGGTCGGACATGGCAGCATCAACAGATGCCATACACAGGACCCGGCCCCATAGGCTATCTGGAAGGGGGAAGGGGTACAGCTCAGGAGACACCATGGCCCCCCATTCGGCACCCCCTGCCTCTACTCACTCATCTTGAACTCCATGCCAGCCTTTTGAGACTTCCAATCCCTTCCAGCCAGAACTTACCCTAATTCTTTGTTGAGGGGCTATCTTGTGCATTGCAGCACCCTTGCCTCTATTCACTAGATGCCAGTAGCTCCCCATCCCTCAGCTGGGACCACAAAACTGTCTCCCGACATTGCCAGATGTCTTGAGGGTGGTGGTGGCAACAGCAAAAATCATCACTGTACCCTGATTCCAGCCACCTGGTAAAGAAGGGCTCTGGGGTGAGGATACTCCATCTCTCCCCTTCCCCGAGGTTCATGAGCCTTACCTGGGGGCTCCTAGAGCTTCTCATCTTTATATATTCCTCTGCTGTAGCTGGTGGCCATAGTGTGTGTACAATTCACTATTGCTTGTTGGACAGATGGACAGAAAGCCCCAGGGGAGGGGAGAATGCACCCCTGTTCTAAGTTCATGTAAAAGGTGAACACCCTTGCTACCAGGCACTGATTTTATAACCAGGCCTCAAAACCAGCTATGTCTACTGGTCTTGTATAAGATGTGGTGCTGCCTGCAGTGGATCTGTGGCATCTTGCTACACTGATGGACAGTGACTGCATTGGAGTATGGGTGGGGACTTGATAATAAGGGTGAATATAGTAACCACATTGTTTTTTCATGTCAAACCTTCATAAGAGTGTATATCAATCATACCTTAATAAAAAAAAAGATCTATGAGATAAAAAATATTGAACTTGTATGCTCCTAAGAATATAGCCTAAAAAATAAAAAAAATAAAAAAAAGATGTGGTGCTGCCTGTCTGCCCCAGCCCCTTGGCAAGGTCACTGTTCTCCCTAGGGCACTAGCTCATACACAGGGAGTTCTTGAGGCAGGGACGTTTGACGAGACAAGTTCATTCCTTCTTCCTTTTGTTAACAGAGAGTGAAAACATGGAATCTTCCAAGACGTTCATGAGACACCTGCCAATCACACCAGGTTATAGTGGTAAGTGGTGACGTGCCCTGCAGACGTGCCTGGCTAGAGAGACATGCTCTTGGTCACTGTCCCTGCCTTGGGCCATTGTCCATGGCTGTCTTCACTGATTGAACCAGTACAGGCCCTTTAGCTTATAAGACACTTGTTGAAAGTACTCCATGGCTGAAGATGGCTGATAACTGGGTTCTGATAAATGGAGAGATAGGACATGGCCTCATATGCAGGAAGCACTTAATGTCCGTGGAATGTATTTGGACCTGGCTAGACACAGTGCTGTGGGAATAGACACAATGAATGAGCCGAGGCACTGTCCTTCCCAAGTTGGGCTTTCTCTAGTCTTGCACTAGGGCCGCTCTTATGGTCCTGTACCATCCTGTGTCTCTCAAGGGAAGGGTGACCAACTGCCTTGCTTTGCCTGGAATGGTTCTGGTTTTAGCACTGATGTGGAAAGTCCCACATCCCAGGCATACCTCAGTCCTTGGCAAACCAGGATAATTGGTCACCCTACCTAAAGCCTTCTGCTCAAGCTTCTGGGCTACTGAGAACTACTAAGTCACATTACTATGACAAACCCAGTGGTCCCCAGAGGATCTCAGCTCTTACATGCAGGTATTCCTAGGAGGGGAGGTGTATGAGGAATATTCCAAGATTGCCCAGCCTCACCCTGGTCCTACTGGCTAAGAGGGCAGGTTTTGGATTCTAATAAACTGAAGCTTCGGTCCTTGCTTGGCCACTATGTATGTGATTGTAAGTAAGTTACTTAAATCTGAAAGGGGTGTGTTAGTGTCCTAGGGCTGCTGTTTAAAACAGCAGATCTTCAGTCTCTCACAGTTCTGGAGGCTAGAAGTCTGAAATCAGGGTGTCTGCAGGGCCATGCTCCCTCTGAAGCCTCTAGGGTAGGATCCTTGCCTCTCCCAGCTCCTGGTGTTTGTCAGCTGTGCTGTGTCACTCCAGTCTCTACCTCCATCTTCGCATGACTCCACGTGGTCTTCTGTCTAGTATCTGTGTATTTGTTTTGCAAACCTCCCTCTCCTTCCTCTTATAAGGACACAGGGATTGGATTTAGGGCCCTCCCTAAATCTAGGATGATCTCATTTCCAAAACCTTCATTATATCTGCAAAGACCCTATTTCCAGATACAGTCACATTCACAGGTACCAGTGGTTAGGACTTGGATGTACCTATTAGGGGAACATAGTTCAGTCCACTACATGGGATAACAATAGATTCCTCATCAGATTGCTGTGAGGCTTAAAGGAGCCAACATACAAAACCTACTTAAAATGTCTTGGCCCTTAGCAGGACTCAATGAAAAGAACTTGTATTCCTGTATGTATGCATATACATAATTATATAAAATCTATGCAGATCAAATTAGGCCTGATGGAGGATAAATCACTGTGGCAGAGTCCCTAGGTTTCTACAGTTTCCCCATAGACATTATGGAATCTTTTAATTGCCCAAGAGTTGGGGAGACTGGATGGTAGGAGAACTTGAAGATCACATATATATCCTACAATAGTAATTAGGTTCTTCCTGAGGCAGCTTCTTGCAGGGAACAGGAGATAGGGAATTCTGCTTTCAACTCTTAAGTCAGGTTTTCTTCACCTAGGGACAAAGACAAAATGTGGGCTCCAATATCGAGAGTTATTTATTTATTTTGCAGTTTAAAACCAAGTCCTTAAGCAGTTTTTCCTCACTTGTTCTTTTTAAAAATGTTTTTTTCTGACAATATTACAGTACAAAGGATTCAGCATTCAGTTTAAATAAATAGTTGTGTTTTACCCATACTAATTGTAATGATTATATGTTATTTTGTGGGAAATGGTGAAAAATTGTTCCAGGGGTGGTCTTGCAGATAATGAATTTACTTTTTTGTGTAATAGGTCTCTGCTTTTAATAAGCCTGCAATTTCCTGATAGTCCAACGAGAAAGATCCCAAATTGCATTTGGGAAGTGTCAAGGAAAATAAGCGTTTTTTTCTGAAAAGATGGATAATTTCAATTACTCCTCAGACTATCATTTTGGTCCATTAAATGCCTTCCCCATCTTCTGTGCAGGCTGACATCAGGGGCTTTGCTATGCCAGAATATTACTGTCATTGCCTTTGTTGAAACGGGCCTTCCCTCCCCAGCTCCAAGGTCATTTTTGTGGCCTTGGGAGGGCCGAGCTGCATTGAGAGCAACACCACTGCTTGTATTAATGGCCTTTGGGAAAATGCAGTGCTGCTGGCTGAAGAAGAAATGTCAAAGGCGGGGCTGACACAGTGGGGCATTTAGGCAGGCTCCAAATCCCTTGCTCTGAAGGCTCTGATTCCGTTGGCTTTTGCAGGCTTCGTGCCGTACCTTAGCTGCGAGGGAATCTCCGTCGAGGATGACATGTCCCACTGTCTGAAAACCTTCCAGGAGAACACACAGCGATATAAAGACCGGCTGGAGGAACTCCGCTGCTCCGTGGCCACTGCCCAGAAACTAAAGCCCACCTGCTCCGAGGAGATGGTCTTGCAGGCCCTGCACCAGTACCACCAGCAGTACCACCCCATGGAGCTGGGTACTGGCTCTGGGCACACATCCCCTTTGTCCCCGGGCCCAAGGGCAGGGCCTGGCAGGCCCACTGAACTGCCGCAGAGAGCACACACCCCAGCACAGCTGCAAATCCCCAGGAGGCAGTGTGAAGCGGAAAGGCTTGGTTTCTTAAAATGTAAAAAGAAACATTTCCAGGGGGAGAGGGACAGAGTCCTGGTCAGGGAAGAGGGTGCTGGGAACTATGACCCCTAGCAGGACACCACAAATGTTCAGACACTGGCAGCTGTCTCAATAAGTTTCACATTTTAGAAGCTTTCTCTGTGCTGAGCACCATTAGTTCATTAACCACCCACAACAATCCTATGAGGTGGAAGCTATTAATCCCTATTAAGAGATAGCAGAAATGAAGCTTTGAAAGAAGTATTGTCCCTTGCCTGAAGTCACCTGGGTTTGAAACCAGCTCCTCCAGGTACCAGTTGGATGAGAAAGAGTTTTACCCTTAGTAACAACCACAATAATGACAAAAACAACAGATGATATGATTATATAATGTTGTTAATCACAACAATTTGCCCTAGATTATTTTTAAGGTCTAAAGGCCTATAGGAAAAGTAATGGACTGATTGCCTTTATTATTATTGCTGTAATGGTTTGGGGACTATTCGAGGCCACACACTGACTCACTTGTTGGTGCTTTAACAGTTTCCAAGCCATTGCAAAGAACATCTGCCTAAGAATTGGGGATTTAGCCCAGCTCTGTGCCTGTTTGCTGTGTGACCTAGGGCAGCTCACATCCCCTCTCTGGGCTATAGTTCCTTCATGCAGGTTAGGGAAGGATGGACTAGATGTTCTCCACGGCGCCTTCAGGCTCTGAGGTTCTGGAACTCAGTGGCCTACTTGGAGTCTTACAGCATCTGAAGGAGGCAGGTGGGGCAGAATCTTCCATCTCACAAGTTAGAAATTGCCCACGGGCAGCCAGCCAGCCAGCCAGAGGTGTTCATGACCTGATGGTGGTTCCCCAGTGTTGAATCTCATGTGCTTTCTCCTGACCTGGACGCTGCTCTCGATTTTCTTATGCAAACAGGGAAAGAACAACTTGTGAAGCCTTTTTTTATTACTCAGAGAAAGGAGCAGGATCGATCCGTTTAAGAGGAAGAACTTGAGAATCAGACAGACTCAGGTTTGAATCGCGGCCCTCCTGCTTCCTTGCCATGTGACTTTGGTCGAGTCTCTTTCAGTCTCTTTAAGTTATCCGTCTCCTCCAGTAAGAATGGTGCCGTCTTCATGCAGTTTGTGAGAAAGTAAAAGAGAGACTGTATGTAAAGCGCTGACCAAGATGCCCGGCACACAGAATCAGCCAGCCCGTGCTAGCTGCCCTTAGTACCCCTAGAAGCCTAGGGGTTCGCCGGGGCTCACTGCTGGGTGCCAGCTAACTGGGAGCACTGCCCACTATGTGGCTCCTCAAAGCCCTCAGGCAGCATGGTGTTTTTTTTATAGAATGCAAAGACGTCAAGAGACCTCTCCAGGAGCCCCCGATCCCTGGCTGGGCAGGCTACCTGCCGAGGGCCAGGGTCACTGAGTTAGGCTGTGCCACACGGTACACAGTCATGGCCAGAAACTGCTACAGAGACTTCCTGGACATCACGGAGCGGGCCAAGAGAGCGCACCTGAAGCCGTGTGAGGAGTAAGTCTGGCACGGGGAAAGGCAGATCTTGGGCCAGAGGGTTCCCAGGTCTCCCTCCCAGCACTGGGGTTGTTTCGTGTCTGATTTGTTTGACAGGAGGGGCCTTGCTTATAATCGCAGGGCCTTCCCAGGAGGTGGCCACCCTCTCTCATTACTTGTGCCCAGCTTTCTCCAGATGCCCTGCTTGTGGTCTTTGCTGGTTTGTAGGGCGAGGCTGGGAGTAAAATCTAATGGAGCCACCTGTCCTGGCAGCAACATAGGGCCCAAGGGTGCTTATGGAGGGAGATGGCTGGGCACTGTATAGGGTGGCTCTTTGACCTCAGTTTTCCCTTCTGTAAAATGGAGATGATAATCTTTACCTTTAGGATAAATTGTAAGGATTAGAAATAAACATACCACGTTCACAAGGAACCTGCATGGGTTATATTTCTTCTTCTTTTCATTATTAACCAAAGGAGTAACTCTAGGATTTTTGTTCTTACTTTAGAATATACGGAGTTAGGTCTACACAACCTCCTCCTGCCCCTTCTCCAAAAGTTTTGCAGCACAAAGGGCTGCTGCCAAAATATCCGGATTTCTCTATTCCAGGTACTGGACAACTCTTTCTTTCCTTCCTACTATTTTTAGAAAGAGGATGGTGTTTGCAGTTGCTTCTCCACATATCTGGGCCATCTGCCTGCAATTCCTGGGCATGGTTTCTTTTCCAGGTGGTAGCTGTCCTGCCCTTGGAAGACCCATGATAGAGGACCCCAGGCCTCCACTGATGTGTGGCTATGCTCAGAGGCCAAATGTGTCATGCAACAGGAAGAGTTATCTAGAACCACTGAACTCAGCAAAGTATACGGAAGGCTAGAAGTGGGGAGTACGCCAAGGAGAAGGGAACTATAAGGGCGCTCAAAAGCTCGCGGTTCTGACATGAGGATTAGCCCCCACCAACCCCCCCGCCACACCTTGACGAGCACTAGGGAAATTTCATAGAATAAGAATCCTTTCAACTGCCGCCTGCACCCTCACTGGTTGGCAGTAGCATGTCATTAATGATAAAGACTTTTTATTGTTATGTGAGAATAAAGAGGATACTTCACATCATGCTGAAGGTTTCTGTTGAGGGGGTTTCCAAGTTACATTGACCTTGGGAAGAACCAGGTGACAGTTCCCAACACTGGCACCACAGATGCCATGAGCACCCAGCCCTGGTGGTTCGGGGCCCCAGATCTCAGGAGAGCCCAGCTGGCAGACCCCAGAGGGTTGACTTTCACAGGGCTGCTGTTCTAGCACCTCCACCTGGGCGGCATAAGACAACAAAAATGTATTGTTTCATAGCTCTGGAGATGGAAAGTCCACACTCAAGATGTGAGCAGGACCATGCTCCCTCTGAAACCGGAACGGGGAATCCCTCCTTGCCTCTGTCCAGCTCGTGGTCTGCTGGCACTCCTTGGTGTTCCTTGGAACATACTTCAGTCTTGGTCTTTATCATCAAATGGCACTTCTTGGTGTCTTTGTGTCTCCACGGGGCCGTCCAAGATACCAGTCTCATTGGATGAGGGCCCAGTCTTCTCTGGGATGAGCTCACCTCAACTTTGCTAATACCCCTGAAGTGATCCTATCCCCAAAGAGGTCACACTCTGGGGATTGGGATGTTGACACATCTTTTGATGGGGACACAATTCAACCCATAACACTGGCTGACCTCTTCTTACCGCTGACAGGCCCTCTTTCTGATCTCACTCTGAGTCATTGGCACTCAGAAGAAAGCAAAAGCAGCCCAGGGGGTCATGAGGCCATTGGCATCAAACAGTCCAAGATGCGCAGAGCCAAAAGATGCAGCAAGCGTTTGTGGGTATTTTCCCCAAGGTGGGAATTGTTACCTGGGCTTCCTGCATCCCCAGGGCTCTGTGAGTGGAAATCAGGAGTCAGATCTTTGACTCTTATGAGAAAAAGAACTTTGATGGGAAAAAATATTACATCTTTGTTTTTAGTAAAAGTCAAATTTAGTATTTCCTTCATGTATGAGTATAGGCCACAGACCCCAGCCAGACCTGTCACCTTCGCCTGATAGAAATTACACATCACTCCACATCATAAGACATGTGTTGCAAACAGCTCAAAATAATGTTAATGTTGATTGCTACTTTATAATTATCATAGTTACTAGAGCTACTATATCTACTCTCTTTAACATATTGTTTTTGTTCTTATATTTTGATACTATTTCAACATAATTAATTTCCTTTGTAATCTTGTGTTTTACTTTATGCATTTAAAATGTGATTCTGAGAAGAGCTCATAGGTTTCACTTGCCAGCCAGAGGGTCCCTGGCATAGAAATAGACAAGAACAAAATGCAGCTGCAACCCAAACCCACTGGACCTGAGATTCTAGTACATTCCATTATTAAAAAATAATGTGATAGGTGGGAAAATATTTATGATACTGTGCATGAAAAATACAGGCTATAAAACTGTACAGTGACAGCAAACTCCTGTGTACACGTACACACACTGTAATCTGTTTTTTGTTTAAAAGAGAGGTGGGGGTGGAGGGAGCTAACCCATAATGCTAACAGTGGTTATTGGGGGTAATGGTGCCCTTAATTATTATTTTCTTATGTTTTTTCCAGTTTTCCACAGCCAACAGGTATTGCTTTCATAATCAGGAAAAAGTGTTTTCTAAAAATCTTTATTTTAGATATTTTAATCTTTTAGAGATTGTACGTTTAAAGAAAAAAAATCTACATCTCAACCAAGGGTAGTTGTCATTCTCTGCAAAAGACTGGGGCAAAGCTCAGTGAATAGTCAGGATTTTTTCCAGTTTTCTTAAAACCCCTGGGAGAATGACCCCACAGTCCCAACTCGGAAACCAGGAGATGGGCGATAGATCCCTCACCTGCCTAAGGCAGTGTGGTCCAGCCTGCTGCACCTCTGCTGGCCCCTCAAAGAACGATGTGGAAGTGGTGTCTGCCTGGCCCCCTCTCTAAAGCCCAGAGAGATGTAGACAACTCCTCTGAACTCAAGGTTTTTGAGATTTTTGCCCATGAAATTAAGGGGTGCCAGGACTGGAACATTCCTCCCAAGGAGCCCTCATCTCATCTCATTCACGGGATCAGATTGTGTATCAATCAATACTTAAGTCACTGACTGATTTGTTTGGTACGAACCTTTAAAAAATGGCTTGAGCTGTAAAACAAAAACCAAAAACAACCCAAGGACAGAAATTACAAAATTGAATAAAGGCAATCTAAAAAATTGTTAAATAAGATCTAATTCTTCTACAACTTCATGATTAAGATCACCCCGTTCAAGGTGCCAATCTGTTAACTCCTTTTGTTGAAGCAGTTCCGAATTGCAATTCCTTCCCTTAATCTTCATCCTTTCTGTTGCCCCCTAGCCTATAATTTCTGGAGCATTGTCTGTCGAGGGGAGGTAGAGAGGTGATTTTACTACACGGCAAATTATCATTATTAGCACAAACTGCATCTGTAATGAGCTCATGCTTGCCACTAAAAACAATCCCATTACCTGATAAGACAAAATTCCCTGGGTCTGGAAATGCCGAAGAAACAGAGGGCGAGGGTTTGTGTGTTTCTCATGACAATGGGTTCTTTTGTTGGGATAGTTTGACTTCCATGGCAATTAAAATGCTCCTTTGGGGTCATTTCTTTCTCCTTCTGTGTGAGATTGACAGTTCCCCTAGAGGCCGAATGTTAGGAGGGGATACCCAGTTTCCTGTCTTTTCTCCCTGTTCCTCGGAGTGGTGACTGGCTGGCTCCAAACAGTATCTCCATCGTGGCTGTAACTCTGCCCCAGCACTGCTGTGAAGCATGTGGCCTGGAGTCAGACACCCTGAGGTCAGATCTCAACTCGGAGGTTTTCTACCTGTGTGACTCTGGTAGAAAGTCTGACCTTAACCTCTCGGAGCCTCAAATTCGTGTTTTGTAAAATGAAGATAAGAAAAGCACCTACCCACTAGCAGGGGTTTGGAGATTAAGAGATTAGGCAGGTAAATGTGGCCCACATGTGCTCCGTAAATATTACTATTCTCAATTTCCTCTGAGGTAAAGGGACCAGGGAAAATTGCTGACATGGGCTGGGGCGGGTGTGACATCTCTGAGCCCACACAGTGGGTTGTTAACAGGAAAGTGTTCAGAACCCAGGGCTCCTGGCTCCTAATGAAGGGCTCATTCCATGGCTGCAGCTTTCCTGCAGGGGTTCTCCTGAGGCAGGCAGAGCACATATGATTGACTGAAAATAAAAATAGCAACGGGAGTTTATAAACATGTTTGTGTCAGGCTCTGGCCTAAGCCCTTTACCTGGAATAGCTTATTTAATTAGTGTCATTTAGTTAGCATATTGTTTAGCATAAATATTTTCATTTTACAGATGAGGAAACTGAGGCAGAACAGGTTGGGTAATTTGCACAGGATCACAGTAAAGGACGAAGCCAGGATTTGAACCTAGGCAGCCTGAGGCCCGGCTCTGCCCGCTTGACCTTCATGCCACACCAAAATGTCCTATGGGCCTCCTCTGTGGATGTTGTCATGGTAACACAAACCTGGTTTTGAATCAGAGTCATGGTTTCAACATCAAATCACTTTGAAAGAAAAATGGTCAGAGGATAAATGAGAAACACGAAGTATGATAGGAGTGGCAGAGCCCGTGGAATGGGGCAAAGGATGTTGAGAGCTGGGCTTTGGGGATTCTTAGTTTGGGTTGTGCCATATAACTGAGGAGGGTCCTTGAGTGAGAAATGTAATGACTCCAAGTTGATGCAGTTTTCTGTTAAAAAAGCAATAATAAGAATACCTTCCTTGTAAGGTTATTTGAGAGGATCAAATGGGATAATGCACACCAAGTGTACGGCATGGCATTTTGCTGGCTTAAAACTCAGAGGCCTCTGATTCCTTTTGACCAAGCTTTTGGCACTAGAAAACACCAACACAAAGACAAAAGTTAAGAGGCTCAGCGGAGAGGCCTGGGCTCCCTGCCCTGCCCTGGGCCTTCCTCATCAGCCTCCTGTCCCACCGCACATGGGCTCTTGGCTCCTTCTTACCCAAAAGGCATGTGGGTTCCCTAAGTGCATTACCTTCCTTCCTTTGTCCTCACAAATATCTCAAGTGCCCCCATGCCCAGCCTGGCATGCACACAGCATACCTGTGAGTTATGGATGAGATGCCCACACGGGTGGCCCCCTAAGGGAAGTTGATGCGCCCCCAGCAAAAGCCCACGTTCATGTTTGGATTCAAACGGGTATTGTCTGGATTCTCCGAAGGCTGAGAGGGAGCATGCACCTCACCTTTCGTGGCCACCTGGGGTACCATCTAACAGGGGCACCAGGCTCTCGGAGACCTGGAGGAGCTGGACATCCAAGTTTTTCAGGCCTCATTTTTGGCATGCGTTCTCTTGAAGGTTACACGATGCGCAACCCTCCCAGACCTCTCCTTCAGCCTTCTACCTGTCTTCAGCCCCAGACCCTGTCTTCACGTCTGGGTAATGACCCTGTCCCTGGGCAGGAGACCCCTTGCCCAATGCCCTTTTACTTAAAGCCACTTCCATTTGCTTAACCACAACACAATTTTAGTGAGTGCTCTAAGTCATTTTTCAAGCTGTTTGTCAAAGGGCATTTCTGACTGACTTTATAATCTGTGTCCACGCCTATCATATCTGCAGTGTTGTGATGCTTGGGGTTGTCATTTTTATCTCCTTATGAACATTTTGAGCCCCTTTCAGCCAATGTGTCTATAAAACCTCTCTATGAGATTTAGTGTCACAAATGCGGCCATCTTATTTGAGTGCCATCTCAGCCTCCTGCCCTGAAGTTGCCAACACTTTGAAAAGGACATAAATTACCTAGGCCCTTTCTGCTAAACCGGGGTTGAAAGCTTTTTCTGTAAAATGCCAGAGAGTCCATTTTTTAGACTTTGTGGGTCAACTGGTCTCTGTCTCAAATATTCAATTCTGCCATTTTAGTGAGAAAGCAGCTATACACAATATGTAAATGAATGAGTGTGGCTATGTTCCCATAAAGCCTTATTTATAGACACTAACATTTTAATTTTCTATAATTCTCATGTATCATGAGATAGTATTCTTCTTTTGAATTTTAAGAAAACCATTCAAGAATGTGAAAAACATTCTTAGTTGGAAGGCTGCACAAAAACAGGGGGCCTACATTCACCAATCCCTGCCCTAAACCACAAGTTCATCCGAGGAGATGATGCTAACCAGGGTCTAGTCATAAGTGATTTATTATGTAAGTAATCTGGGTCAAGTGGGTACCCCCGTGAGGGTTCCCTTTGGAGGATCTGGGAAACAAAACTTCTGTGCTCCCAGAGCACTGAGAACATAGCTCAAACCCACCATCCAAAAGGTGAGTGTTTTGGAGCTCAGATCAACCAGGAGAAAGCCTGCAATTGCTTGAGAGAAAAGGTAGAAACAAAGGCCTCGAAGAGGCTTTTCATACCGTGCATTAAAGTTAAAATCTAATTTAGATGAAAATGGATGCATAGAAATTAAATGTGCATGTGAGGCTTTCGTTGTTAAATTGTGTACTCTGTAACGATAGCTTTACCAAATTTATTCCCTTGGCTTGAAAATAAAGATGCTTTTTGAATTTCGATTTTGTTATTTTACAAATTGTTTTAGCTTTGTGAATAGTGCAAACTCCATTTCTGATCTGCCTCAAACAAAAATAGAGCATTAAAGTGTTTAAGATTCAATCAAAGGCTTGCTGTGAGCGGCGGAATATTAAAATAACAGAAAAATCAATTCAATTTTTATTTTGAACATGATTTGTCACAAATAGCATTCTAATAGATAACACTGATTATACGGTAGCAGATGTAATTTATATATACCAAGCTCTACCCCTTTGTCAGAGTCATCATTAAGGAATTTGACACGTATGCAGGAGAACAATAAATGTCATCTGAAATATATACCAGTTAGATACAAATGGGACGCTCAAATGAGTGATGCTGGCACACACTATACTTATAAGTAATAATATGCAGTCTGAAGTAGCTTGCGTTTTCAAACAAGAACTCTTTTTATGTTGTCATTTAAAATATCTCATATTTCTGAAGGTCAGGAATAAGTGGCACTATTAGCATTAAAAGCTAGTAAAAGAAAAAGTAATTTGTTGTGCATTTAACATAACGTTTCATGAAATAGCTTTGTAAAGTATTCATTATTTTTCCCCTATGGAGGTTGAGAAGACAAGATGAAGACTCCTGGTTGTTAACAGAGGGCTTTGTATCACACCTTTGTTACCACTAACATCTTGATTCAGTGAGACCTTTGTGGAATTATGTGGTTTGTGCCTGGGCAGGTAAATGCTAAGAAATAAAGCTGTCTACCCAGCTGTGGTCTTGACTGGCTCCACAGCGGGGAGCTGTTCAGGTCTGGGGTTTGGACCTCACTGGTAGTGCCATTTGGTACAGGGATGACAGCATGACACTGGAGACAAGTGCAAGGCTTGTCAGAGACCGAAGATGGAGGGTTCTGGTGTGACAGACACAGGTCCCCAAGATAAAGAGGAGGGAGGCTCTTTATGTGTCTCAGGAACAGTGGCAGGTAAATCAGGATTTGAATCCAAATGCAGATGTGGGACCATCTTGGGGTCATAGAAACCCACCCAGTCACCTTTCACTAGTGATGACTTCTGTCAGCCGTAGGTTCTAAACTCCAAAATACTATAAACCTCTCTCTCTCTCTTCTTTTTCTCTTAAATTTGGATAAAAATTAAAACTACAAAAAAATAACATTTGACAAACACCACAAAGATGAACCTACTGTCATATTTGCTTCAAATCCAATTGTAACCCAAAATACATGACATTACTGATAAAGGATTCTACATATCCATGTTTTGATATTTTGTGCCCCAGATGCAGTGGGTAGTAGTATTTTGTGACTAAAAATGTACATAAATGGTCTGTTGTATCCTGACATTTGCTTTTGTCCTCAACAGGAGTTTTGGGGGATCTTCCCATGTGGATACATATGGACTCTAGTACATTCTTTTCCATCTTCCAGGTTATATTTTGGACAATCTGATGGGTGCAATGTCATGTTGCTGCTTTTATCTACTCTCCCAGTGAAGGTGAATCTCAAGCATTTATTATTCAGGTTCCCCCTGTTCCCTGCCTGCTCAGCCCCCTTTGTCCATCATTCTATGGGGCTGTCCTTTTCTTTAAGGATTCTGAATACTAATTCTTAGTTGCATTCACTTCAAATACCTTTCTGTAAGGCTGCAGTTGTCTGTAATCTTGGTCATTTTATCTCTGTTACTCTTAAAGAATAAGCCAGGCCTGCCTGCCCTTCCTGCTTCACTTATTGGATATTTATCTGTGCCACGCATTGTGCTAAGCATTTTGCATAGTTGATCTTTAATCATCGCAGCCACCCGTGCAAGAGGAGCAGAAGAAAACAGAGAAGAAGCTGGGATTCAAGGCCGGTTCTGCCTGCCTGCGGAGCCCCACATCACACTCAGAGAAGTAATAAGTGTAAAAGATGAGAAAGACAGTGCCATCTCCTTTTTAGAAGGAAACAGACATACACAGTAGTTCCCAGCTCTGTCTGTCATCTCCTGGGGAGCTTTAAAAAGTACCTGTGTTGGGCCCCACCCCAGAAATTGATTGGTTTGGGGTATGGCTTGGACATGAGGTTTTCTTTTAAAGCCCCCTTTATATGCAGCCAGGGCTGAGAACCTGCTGTATAATTTGTAGTATGACTAAGATCTAGGAACTCTAGTAGGTCTCAGACATGGACCTATTTCACAGCACCAGGTCCAGATTTTATATGCTGTAATAAGGCTTCAAGAAAAAGAAGTCAGAAAATACAGAGAGAAAAGGAGAATGAAAGGAAAATACCAAGGTGACATTTGCTCAGTTATAAGATATGAGCACCCCTATCCTGGGAAGGGACGGCCCCTTCTGCCCTCCTCTTCGGCCCCAGGAATGAATTACCTACAGTGTGATCCCCAGCACTAGCCCCCGTGATTACGGCACCATTCATGGAATCCTAAATGAAGCTATTTCTGGATGCTAAGCATTGAGAGGTGAACACCCCAATCTCCGTCCAAGTGGCACACCCTACACCATCATGCTCCAGACCCCGAAAGCAACACCCTGTCCCTGTCACCAGCCTGCTTACTCATGGGGGCTTCAGGAACAGGAGTGCAGGTGGGCAGGGCTCTGGGAGGCTGTGCATGGGCAGAAGGTCAGGCTGGAAGGGCCACGCACTGCACAGCCCCATCTGCTCTGCCTGGGGTGGCACTGAGCCCCCAAGGTCTGGGCACAGACTCTGCCTGCTCATTGGCCTTGAATGGAGACCATGCAGGCCAATATGTGGCTCAGGAAGGAAATCGGGAAATGTGGGCCTGGCTGCCCCACCTGGCCTTGACTCACTGTGAGTTCAGGTGGCGAGAGCCCTCTGGGCATCCCCCAGGATTATGGTGTCTGCAGAAACGTCCATGCAGGCACGGGGGCCCAGGCTGGCTGGGCATAGGCTCTGGGAAAGGCTGCCCTGAGCCCACTGACTGACCTCCCATTTCCTACCAGGGAAAGGAATAAATAGGAAAATATTTGCAGTTGACAAAATATTCCAATTTTCTTAATTTTAAAGAGCTCTTTAGAGTAAAAATTATATCAAGAAGATGCCTAGAATTACCAAACAATTTGGACAATCACAGAGAAAGAAATACAAAGACCATTAAACACTGAAAAGATGTTTACCTCAGTCATAATGAAACAAATGCAAATTACAGTTTAAGGAAAAGCACTTTTACCTACCAAACTGGCAAAAGGTTAGATAGTTCACCATGCTGGTGAAGGTGTGAAGCGCTCTCCTGTTACAATGAATCAGAATTCATTGACGTGAAGTGAATGTCAGTTCCTGAAATTAACTATATTTGGCTTTTTTTGGCCTACAAGAGTGGCAGTTTTGTATGATTCAACCTGCTGTGTTGCCAGCTGGAATGAAAATGGGTATGTTTGTGACTAGGGGCAATTTGGCAATCCTGATCAAAATAAACATTCATGTGGACATATATAATTGTATAATGTAAAAATGTTGCAATAGTATACTAGGCGCCTGAATATTCATAATAGGAATGTCTGGGGAAACATGTCCAATAGCAGAGACAGTCACACCACATTCATCCCTCAGTGGAATTTATGAAGCTGAATGAAGAACGAATGATAATGCAAAAAGCAAGGTGAGAATAGTGTGTGCTACATGCTACCACTTGTTTGAAAAAAAGGGGTGGGGTGGGGCGGGGGTATGTGAGCTGGGCATGCTGAATATTCCTGGAAAGGACGCTAGTTGTCTCTGGCAGAAGGAACCAAGATACTGAGGGAGTGAGGCTGCAAGGAGATTTACCCTGTGTGAGGATACATTTCTGGATCACTTACATTTCATCCCATGTACATGCATTAACTTTTTTATTAAGCCCCTCTTCCTCCATGGCACAGGCAGATTTTAACCCAATTGATAATTACTCCGTCTGACTCATGCCATAGTCTGCTCTGACACGGTGTCTGCTTCCTACGCGGCAATGTGGAAAGTGGGTGACTCATGGAAGTAATGACAACTTAATCAAATGAGACAGAACTTCATTGTCTAAGGAAATAAAATACATCAGAACAGCTCACACAAAGTGCCCTGAAGGAGAGAGATGGTGGTAGAGGTGGACCAGTGGGGATTTCAGGCATTGCTTCTGGCCAAACTTGGCTGTAGTCCCAAAAATCATTTCTGAAATGTGACCCCAAAACATGGAGAATGTCAAACTAACACTTCATGTCAAACTGAGGGTATTAAAAAGTTTATTAGCAGAAAGATACAAGAGGGCACTGCATTTTTAACAAGGGTAAAGAGATTGTAAAACATCTTCTTGGACAGTATCACTGCTACAAAAATTATACCTGTGGAGGAAAACATTTTCTGTATGAGGCTCGTTTGCTTGTGGAAATGTGACCTCAGATGAAAGAGGAGCATTTGCCAGCCCCCTGGAATTCAGGTCTCTTTGACTGAAAGGTTCAACTACACCAGGCAGAGCCAGGTGATTCTTACTAAGCAAAAGCATGCAAAGCACATCCTCCCCTCCCATGGCTTCTTAAATGAGCTGAGAGAATCACCCTGTCAGACCAAGGATTTTCCAAACCAAGGGAGGCTCTGAGGGGCCGCAGCTTTGGGCCTGGCAATGAATTCTAAGCACCCCGGGTGCCCCGCCTGCCCAGAGGGGACCTTCCCTATAGAGTTAAGATCATGGAGGGTTCTTTTTACACTGCTTCTGGCAGCCACTTTGGAAAATAGTCCAGCATTTCCTCTAAAGATTAAACATAGACTTATCACATGACCTAGCAATTCCCCTTCTAGGCATATAACCAAGAGAAATGAAAAATATGTCCACACAGAGACTTGAATACAAGTGTTCATGGAAGCATTTTTCATCATTGCCCAAGGTGGAAACAACCCGAATGTCCATCAACTGGTAAATGGAGAAACAAAATGTGGTCCATCTGTACAATAGAATATTATTTAGCAGTAAAAAGGAAAGAAGTGTTAACACCTGCTACAACATGGATGGAACTCGAAAACATATGCTAGGTGGAAAAAGCCAGACACAAAGGACATCATGCTGTATGATTCCATTTGTGTGAAATGTCCAGAGTAGGAAAATCTACAGAGACAGAAAGATTGGTGGTCACTTAGGGCTAAGGAAAGGGATAGTGGGATTGTGGGTGATGGCTAATAGGTGTGGGGTTTCTTTCTGGGATGATGAAATGTTCTGAAATTGGTTGTGATGATGGTTGCACAGCTCTCTGATACACTAAGGCACTGAAGCGCACACTTTAAATGGGTGAATTGTATGGTATGGGAATATATCAATAAGGGTGTTTAGGAGGAAGAAGATCACCGAGGGTCATCACTCCTGATAGGGTGGAGCCTGGTCAGGTTGGAGCAACCACCTCGCTGCGAGACGCCGGGCACTGCGGCTTCCTCCTTCCTTTGGGGTGTCTTTGGCTAAAGGAGGGTAGTCCGCCGAGCCAGCCCTCCCTCAGGGCTCGGCTTCAGGATGCAGCTCCTTGAAGAGGGAGCCCTAATGTGGGGTGGGGACTGTGGCATGTGAGCTGCACTGTGCTTGAAAACAGTAGCTCCCCTCCACCCCCACCACGTGATGTGGAATACAGACTGTCCCACAGTGCATTCCACTGACTCTCACTGACTCTTCCGTGCCACGTCCAGCTGTGTGAGCTGGATGGGCGCAGTGGAAAGAGGACTGGATTGGCTATCAGAAGACTGGGTCTAACTCCATGCTGTGCTCCACACTTGTGCTCTTGATTATACAAAGTAATACCCCAGCCACCGTGACATCTAACCCCTCTTCCAACAATGTGCCAAGGAATTGAGAATATTACTGTTTACAGCCAGCCCAGTTAGGTAATACAGCTGTGCAAGGTCTTGGTGTATTTTTGAAAACATTTTGAAGTCCAATAATCTTCCCTCAAGCTTCCTTACATGGCCTTAAACAAGTCACCTGACTTTCCCTATCTCGCAGTCCTCATCCTAAAATGAGAGCAGTTGAGAGTCTAACTTTCTGTCAGAGTCTAACATCCCGTTATTTTCTGATGATCTTCTTTTAAGGTGGCTTTCTTTCTTCCAATGCTTTAAACACATATGCCCTCTCCAACTCCAGCCAAGTAAGATTTATTTTGTTCCCTCAGAATGAGAAGAGCTTGCCATTAGGAGCTAGATCTCAGCATAGTCTATACCCTTCTCATGCCAGTCTCCAAATAAACCAGTTTATATGAATAACTGTGCCCCACCTGAAATTGACTCAGCACTTTCCTAAAAGTACTGCTAGATGTCTTCTTTAGTGTTGGAGATAAAAGCCTCATATTTGCTTGCTTCTTGAATCAATGCCTTACAATTAATGTTTTGCTCCTGCCAAGTTGAATTTGGCTTAAGGAAAATGATGTTTGATCTTTCAAAGTAAATCAGATGGATAGATGGAGAGCTGAGATGAATAGTTGGGTGGATGAATGGATGGATGCACAGATGGCCAGAAGGGTGAGGAGACAGATCTCCAGATGGATGGATGGGTGGGTAAGTGGATAGGTAAGTGGTTAAGTGGATGGGCAGAAAGAAATGTATGAGTGGATGGGTCAATGGATACATGAATGGGCAGGTGGGTGACTGGATGCATGTATAAATGCATAGGTGGATTGATAGGTAAACACAGATAATAAAATTCAAATGGAATAAAAGGTACATACTCAATCCCATCTTCACCACTTTGTACTGTGATTTGGGAAGCCCCCAGTTTGGGTCGGAGAAGATTTATCACATGGTTGTTCCAAAGGAACTTAACCTTCTGGATTTTTCCAACATTGAGGTCCACATCAATATCAAGCACATGACTTGCATGTGGTTGGAGGGATCCTCTGAAAACAGACTGAACTTAACCTTCTGGATTTTTCCAACATTGAGGTCCACATCAATATCAAGCACATGACTTGCATGTGGTTGGAGGGATCCTCTGAAAACAGACACAAAATGCTCTATCAGCTGGATAAATGAATATATAAGATGATAACAATCTATTGTCTTTTTAAACAATGGCTACTATTGTTGGTTTTCTACAAATACCTTGAATGACTTCATATACATCAGGGGCTGCTGAAACATTAACATATTTGTGATGAACACACCTTTAAAAAGTATTGGACTCTAGATTTCCATTGTCTTAGTTTGTCCCCAGAGGGAAGTAAAATATTTGGGGTCGCATATTAACCCTATAAGTTCACTGCAGGGCTAATTAATGCAATGTTTTATATTTAAAGATGAATGTAGTTCAACAGAGGCCATTCGTTAACATCTCATATGTAGCATAGGAATTTGTCAATTTAATTTCCAATGAAAATTATTATGTAGAAGTTAGTGCAAAAAACAACATATAATTTTACATCACAGTTATGCATTCATCCCACACATATTTACCAAGCACCTCATGTGCCCAGCAACAGGTAAATGAAGATACAGACAAGAAGCTGGCCTCCACCTTCATGTGTATTATATGTGGGGTTTGGAGTGTGTGTGTTGGAGGGGAAGGACTTGCTGTATAAATGCTCCTTGCCAAAGGAGAATTTGATAATTCATAAAACTAAGTCAGAAAACAATGACGGACATTCCAAAAGGAGTTAGCACACATCTCACTTTAAATAGTGAGTTTCTCCTCTCTGGGTTCACTCTTCTCATATCTAAAATGGGGACATTGAACAAGATGCTAAGACTTCCAGCTCTGACATTTAGGATTCAATGGTTCTGTATAAGAGATGGCTAGATTTATAAAGTAGTTTATACCCAGTCTTTTAGGAAAAGCTATTATGGAAAGTATGACCATTTCCCTTTGCTATCAAACTTACTTGAAAATTTCATATTGTTTTGAGTTTCCGTTACTTCCATATAAAGCAATCCTGATGTACCCACTCACTTTCTTTTTTCCAGCCAGTGTGACCGATACCCTGTATCTCCAACCTGTCCAAAGACATGCAATCAGTTAAATTAGCTCATCTTGTTGGAAAAAATAAAATGACCCCACTGAAGCATTCTTGCTCTGAGCTCTAAATCTCCCATGGGTGTGAAGTAAGGGGAACATGACTAATGGTTTCCTTCAATGAAGTTGGGGTCCCAGGAATTTGGGTTCTAGGTTGGGGTGAGGGACACAGCAGGAAGTAAATATTATCGTTCAGCACAATCCCTTGTCAATACAAATCATGTGCCCTAATAGATGAAGGTGGTACACATCGCTACACCAGAAAGGCCACAGGGAGTGGGAAATATCTGTGGCTCCAACCTCCAACATTTGCATAAATTACCTAATGCTCTCTTCTAGGTTTTTGGTATTTTTGCATGCAATGGACTATTCTCAATAGATGAAACAACCCAGATGAAATTTAAATCCCCTTTTATCAGACACCATCTACCTGCCCTTCACCCCAGGTTCTTCCTTGATAACCAGTTAGGCCTCTATATGCTTAATCAGGTCCAATGGTTCTCACTCAGTGGGGATTTTGCACCCCTGGGGATATTTAGCAATGTCTGGACACATTTCTGATTGTCACAACACAGGGGTGAGCAGTATGCTACTGGCATCTAGTAGGTAGAGCCCGAGGGTCTGCTAAAGTTCCTGCAATGCACAGGGCAGCCCCCACAACAAGAAATTATATGATTGAGAAACCCTCATCTAGAGCTGTCTCTGAGTATTTACACATACATATATATGCATATAAGAGAATATCTAGGTTTTTCTCCTCCCATAAGTTATTCCCTATTTTTTCCACACATTCCCACCCTAGATGGATTTACCCCCTTCTCTGTTCTGTCCTGTGTTCTAGAAGGTCCCCCTGCCCCATATTTGCTGCTGGCTTTCCGTCAGTTTCAGCCAGTAAGAGGCTTGGGCAGGAGGTCAGAAGGTAGGAGGAGAGAAGTGGCGGTAGGTTCTCTCCTACTCCCTCTTTGCTTAAGTACCAGGTGTCTGGCCGTAACTCTCACCGCTTTGGATAGTGGGCCATTCAGGGAGCCCTGCAGCCCCCTGACTCTGGGGGCCTCAGCATCCCTTGCTTGTTCCTTTCAGCCTGCCCGCACCTCTCAGAGGAGGCCCTTCCATGAAGCCTCGTCATCTGAACCACTTGAATGCGTTCTCTTTGCTGTTGGGATCCTGGCTGAGGCATGATATATTGTGTTTTCTTTTGCCATTTGCCTTTTCACTGACTACGCCATAGAGATTTTCTCTCCTCAGTACCCAGAGCCACCTCCTTCTTTTTAATGGTTACATACAGTACTTGGTTGTCCACCAGTAGGTGGACACTAGGGATTTTTCTGCACCACAAGCTTTTGGCGTTAAAAATAGTGCTGCAACGAACACCCTTAAGTAGGCATCCTTATGCACACATGTCAGCTACCTTCTGAGTGGAATGGCTGGGTTAAAGGAATATGTGTCTAAGGCTTATGGTTATTGCCAAACTGCTATCTTTCAGGATAGGATTTAAAACTGCCTTGAAAAATAACTGCTCTGTTATTCAGCCACAATGTATTATTGCTGACAATAAATGAATCTTGATGATTTTACTCTCTTGTACTTTTTCAATGAGAAGCCAGGCAAAACAACAACACAGATGTGGTGTGTGTATGTGTGCACATGCAACTATGTGTAGGGTGACTAGTATGATATATAATCACAGGAGTGACTTCTTGACTTACAGTGACCTTGCCCTACTTTGCCCTCTTCTTAATGGATCCAACCTTTCTGCCACAGGGGTGGGTGGACATGTGACCCAGCCTGGGCCAGTCATTGTACTTAACTCCACTGGTCAGGATTATTGGTTGAAAGGGTGAACATGAGACCCAAGACAAATGGCATTCTTTGGTCCTTCTACTAGAGCTTAGGCTGGTTGAAGTTGAGTTTCTGTCTATTGTTACCAAGGACTAATTAGGCTGGCCCACCTTTGAAAATTATTTGCAAGAACTTTTAAGTGAGTAAGATGGAAACTTACGAGTAAAGTTACCACTGTCTCCTGTGTCCAAGAAAAAGGTTTGTCCCACCGCACTAGTATTGCCCTGAAATTGGTCAGCATAGTGCCCCATTTTGGGGCATCCTTCAGCTGGACAAGGGAAACAGCTACTCTAGTGAAAAAATGTAATTTGTTTGTTAGCAATAGGCCTCAGATTCACTCATGCACTCAATCAAGCAATTCATCTTCCCACCCATCCTCCTCGCTATCTATCCATGAACCCATCCATTCTCAGTTCATCCTCCCATCTGCCTACCTATCCAACTAGCCATCCCCCCTTCTCCTACCCATCCACTGATCTATGCATGCTTCTATCTACTATCCATCCTCAAAATTGTGCTCAGAACTGCAGTGTACCTGGAAAAGTTGGAGTATAGCTGGGAGGACAAGTCATATCCAGGAAGCAGTAATATTAAAATATGGAAGGGAGATGCAAAACATCTCTTGGAAGGAGTAAATGGGACAGATCACAAGTTATGTCAAAAGATCAGAGGAAGAGAACATCTGTGACCATCTTTGCTTTCATGTGAATTATATAATCCATCCCTATTTGAAGCTCCCCAAAGGTAGCTCATTAATCGGGTCCCTTCAGAATTAGACTAGCACCTTATGCCACAGCCTCACTGGCCCTCTATTCTTTGCCCTCACCACATCCATCTTGCATGATATGCAGAGCTTTGGAAAGCACAAGACGAATGCTGGAGGCTGGGCGTGGTATTATCCACGCCCTAACAATAGCTGGCACAGCCACAGCTTCACAATGAATGCTCACAGACCATGCAGATGGAATATGATGTCCTAACCTGAGTTCAACCCCAAAATGTCAAGGTCAAAAATCAGTTCTGAAGGGAAAACATGTGAGTATAAACATGTTTTTATTTTTACTTTTGAGAAAAAAACTATCTTGAAACTTCAAAGTTTTGTAACCCCTGATACAATAATTACTACAAGCAAAACATTCAGTCCATTCAAGTTTGTTGTTAGGGAACAATATCACCTCACAGATTACTTAGGGGAAATGGTAGTTTTACAACGAAGACATTGGGCAGATTTTTAACCTTAAAACCAAGTCGTCAAACTATATGTCATCAAATAATGGCACAGAGTATCACTAAATGAATGTCTCTGGTTGTGACACACTGAGAAGAACTCAGTACCACCCAGTGAATCACAAAGAAATAATCAAACAAGGTCAGACTGTGGCATATTCTACCAAACACCTTGTCTGGAATCCATACAACTGACAATGGCTGCAGGACCAAGAGGAAACAGGGAACTATTTCAGATTAAAGGGAGCTAAAGAGACAAGACAATAAATGCAATGTAAAAAAAAGATGGTAGAGAAGGAGGCGGGGAGAAAGGGAGGGAGAAAGAAAGGAGAAAGATGCAACTCTAGAGGACATTATGTATATATATGGAGAAGTGTGAATATGGACTTTATATCAGAAAATCTTAGTGTGTTAATGTTCAAGCTCCTGAATGTTGTCCTGTAGGAGAATGGTCTTGCTCTGGGAGATGAATGCTGAAGTACTTATGAGCAAAGTGTTGTAATGTCTTGGATTTGCTTTCGCATCATGTAGAAAAAATTATACATATGCACACGTATGAAGTGTAAACAACTAGTGCTTGTAGGTGACAGGCGTATGAGTATTTACTGTATTCTTCTTCGACTTCTGTGTAGGTTGGGAATTTTCCAGAGTGAAAAGTTGGGGATCTAGGGAGGGCCCTGCACAGTCAGGTCTGTGCTGTCCCCCTCCAATGCACCCTGTTCGTTGAAGAAGGCGGCTCTGTGAGGCTTGGTATTCCCAGTGACCATGTTAGTCATGGGGCCACAGCTCTGTTCTGTCCCACGCCACAGGGTCAGCCACCACCACCACCAGGGCCACCACCAGCATCTTCCCAGGGCCCCGGTGTGACCTACCTCCTGAAACTCCTGGTAGGAGGCACACGGGTAGCCCAGGAAGCCGTCGGGATTGAGGATACTGCTTGAGTAATACTTGTAGCTTCTCAGGTGATTGCAGGCCACAAAGTCCCGGGTTCCTGGGGAAACAAAGGCCACAGAGGCTCCCAGGAAGCTTTTCCCTTTGGAAGCATGAACCATTCTGACTAAGGGAGGAATCATCTCTGTATTTCACAGGTGGGTGTTGGCACCCCAGAGAACCTTGGTCACAATTCAAATTTCCCATTATTGGTTTTGACATACTTTGGGGCAAGCAAGAAATCTAGGGCAAACAGGTAATTTAGTGGTGCAGTCAGCTGGAATGGCTTTCCATACCCATCCATACCACTGTGTCCATTCCCTGAGGAGGCCCTACGCAGGGCTAGACAAGTGTTGTGGAGTGACAAGTTCTAATAAGCACACTTGTCCAATCGTACAGGGACCAGGCATGTGACAGAAATGAATGAGGAGGCAGGGGGCCTTGAGGTAGGAAGTAACACACACACACACACACACACACACATGCACATGCACACGCACACGTACACACTGGGAAGGAGAGAGGGTGGCAATATCTTTTAAAAGGGATTCTATGCCATTCAGACAGCTGTTGCACATTAGAAGCCTAGATTACTTGCTCTGATTTTTTATGAGAAGCCAGCATCTTGACTTTTACATGAAAATATTAACATTCTTAAATGACAGTAATACATTCTTACTTTTAAGACAATCACTGTGAAGGCTAATCGCGTGCTGTTGTGGGTTGCCTTCTGCCTGTGGGCTGCAGCTGGAGCCCCTCAGGCCGCACTGGACAGGCCTTTTGCATCAACCAGGCTTTTCTGTGCCTGGGGTCTCAGGCTGTGAAATTCCTCCTTCTTACTATTCTAGGCACAATGCAAAAGCAGTGGAGAACAAGGTCCCATAGCCTCTGGCCACTCTTTCACTGCATTTGATTTGCCGTCTTTTTCTTTAAATTAAAAAGTTCTCTTGTTTAGAATATTGTTTTCTCACTTCTCCAGCTACTTGTATAAAACTTCCATGTGGCGATCTGCAGTGACCTGGGACGTATCTGGGGACCCCTTCTGGGGGCTAATGGGCTTTTGCCACCACCTCTGGAGAAAGGAACATTCCCCTTTGTGCCCAGGGATTAGCTGTGTCCATTCCCTGAGGAGGCCCTACGCAGGGCTAGACAAGTGTTGTGGAGTGACAAGTTCTAATAAGCACACTTGTCCAATCGTACAGGGACCAGGCATGTGACAGAAATGAATGAGGAGGCAGGGGGCCTTGAGGTAGGAAGTAACACACACACACACACACACACACACATGCACATGCACACGCACACGTACACACTGGGAAGGAGAGAGGGTGGCAATATCTTTTAAAAGGGATTCTATGCCATTCAGACAGCTGTTGCACATTAGAAGCCTAGATTACTTGCTCTGATTTTTTATGAGAAGCCAGCATCTTGACTTTTACATGAAAATATTAACATTCTTAAATGACAGTAATACATTCTTACTTTTAAGACAATCACTGTGAAGGCTAATCGCGTGCTGTTGTGGGTTGCCTTCTGCCTGTGGGCTGCAGCTGGAGCCCCTCAGGCCGCACTGGACAGGCCTTTTGCATCAACCAGGCTTTTCTGTGCCTGGGGTCTCAGGCTGTGAAATTCCTCCTTCTTACTATTCTAGGCACAATGCAAAAGCAGTGGAGAACAAGGTCCCATAGCCTCTGGCCACTCTTTCACTGCATTTGATTTGCCGTCTTTTTCTTTAAATTAAAAAGTTCTCTTGTTTAGAATATTGTTTTCTCACTTCTCCAGCTACTTGTATAAAACTTCCATGTGGCGATCTGCAGTGACCTGGGACGTATCTGGGGACCCCTTCTGGGGGCTAATGGGCTTTTGCCACCACCTCTGGAGAAAGGAACATTCCCCTTTGTGCCCAGGGATTAGCTCTCCACGGCTCCCAGCTCCGCTGCACCCCGGAGCCCAGCCACTTCCTGCAGCTGATTCTGCATGTCCCGCACCAAAGCTCATTATTGGACAACAGAACCTGTTTTGAGTTTAATTGTTTCTTTCATCCAAAATTGCTGCCCAGGGATCCCATAATGGAGAAGCGAGGGGATTTCACTGTTCCTCCATGCCCAGCATTGGGGTGACTGGGATCTCCACACAATAGAAACACAGTCCTCTTTAATTAAATCTGGTCTCCTTTCTATTATGTGTACCCTGTTCGTCGCTTCTGGGAGGGAGCAGCCCTGATTGTGACAGGCAAGTCTTCCCTGGAGTTACGTGGGGCCCACAGGGAGGAGGTCAGAAGCTTCCTGTACTGTTGGTAGACGTTGGCAGCAGCTTGATCAGCTCTGCTCTTTAACATCAGCACATAGAATATTAAAATGCCACTGAAGGCTGTGCAGCTCACTGAAGTGTGGATTGTACTGAGGCTAGGCCCTGATTAGGGTACTGGCAGATCTGGGATGCCCATGACATAGATCCTGGCCTCTGGGAACTCCCAGCTCAGAAAAATTAATATTAAAATGAAATGATCTGCCTGACAGCCTCCATTTTCAGGGAGGAGAGAGAAGCCTGGTCTCAGGGGAGGGGTGACAGTAACAGCCAAAGGCCAGAGCAAGAGCAGCTAATGGAGATGGGGTTTAGGTCACCTAAATATCTGGTGTACTTTCCTCCCAGATAAACGGAAGCCGGCACAAGGCTCATCCCCCAGACCCTCAGGCCTCCCGCTCCAAGCACATGCTCCCGAGATGCATAGAGCACAGCCTCCTTTGCCTTCTCAGCTCAGTTCCCTTCCTGAGTCCTCGCACCTGATAACAGCAAATGGCAAGAAGGCCAAAGCCGTTCAAATCTTGGCTGTGCCCTGCGGTGCTTCAAGGAGCCGGTGCTGAAGGAAGGATGGCGCCAAAGCCTGAGCTGCCTGCGTGCCAGTGTGTCCATCCAGCTCACGTCTCAGCATCCTGCTAGGGGGTGGCGGCTGGTCCCTGCTGTGGGCTCAGGGCTTTGCAGCCAGAAATTGGGCTTAAATCTAGGGTCGCCTTAGATAAGTTTAATAACTTCGCTGACCCACTTTCCTCATCTGTAAAACAGGGCTACTCAGAGTAACGGTCTCATGACACTGTTGTGAAAATGCCTGGCACAGAGTAGGCACTCCGAAAGGGGTGGCAGGATCAGCGTCCTGAAGGCCAGACCACATGTGCTGCTTTCTCCCCAGGTGCAGCAGCGGCTGTTGCTTCTCTCATTTACATACCTTCCCAAAGTCCGTTTATATCAACGATGGTTGAAAGGATATTTTTCTGACATCCAGGCATTTGCTTTCCTCCGTTTGGATAGAAATCCAGATGGCCCACCTTTTGGCTCATTCCAAAACCTGAAACATTGGAAGCACAGGTGAGCAGGGAGGTATGTGGATGACCCAAAAGTTGGGTCATGGCCACAGAGTGTTCAACTCTTTCCAACAGGAGGGAGAACCTTCTTAGCAGTTCCCCTCTGCACAGCCGCCCTGCCTCTGGCTCTGCGGAAAGTTCTCAGAGATGAGCCCTTGGCAAGACAAAAAGAGAGGAGAGAGCAGAACTGAACTGCTGAGGGAAAGATGGGCTCTGGGGGCATGCATACATGAGTACTTGTATGTGTGTCTGTCTGTCTGTCTGTCCTTGAGGAGGTCCTGAACCATATGCCTTGACACCATCATGTCCCAGTAGACATATAGCAGGACTGGTGCAATTTTAATTATTTTATTCATTTATAAATTTTGATTTAATATAAATTTTACATTAAAAACATAAAAATATATTTTTAATTATATAAATATAATCAAATTAGATTACACACGTAATTTATGTGGTCTCAATATAACATCATGACCACATAAATTATGTTGTTATATTGAGAACCATAGCCTAGCGGCCAGGAGGTTTGGCTTTTGGAGCACACAGACCTGTTAATCACATTCTTGCTCTACTTACAGACTCCATGATCTTGGGCCTCAGTTGAGCCTCAGTTTACTTAGCTATGAAATGGCAATAATAACAATACCCAGTTTTTAGGGTTGTTACAATAATTAATGAGCTGATGTGCACAATATGTCCAATGCAGCACCTGGTAAACACTCAATAAATGGTATATTATCTATCATCATCATCATTGTCACAAAACATACCCTTTATTGGCACATTTCATGAGTAGTTGGTTATATGAGGAAATATTGAAGAAAGAATATTGAACATTGAAAAATATCCTTTTGACCATCCATAAGGGGATATATTTAATTGCTAACAAAACAAACTAACAAAGCTTTGAGAAAAGAAGTAAGAAAAATAATCAAAAATTAACTTTGCATTTTGCAAGTATAGGTCAAACATGAATTATCAATACACCTGCCCCTCTGCATAGTGGCAGACTAGGGAAGGATGCAGGGTTTGAAGACTGAGTGACAGCCTTCCATGGGCTATCGAGGGGGGTTTGTCCTCCTGGGGCTGCCAGATGAGACCACTGGCACTGTACTGGGTGTTTATTTGACGCTGATTGGTGTCCAGGCTATTCCTGAGGTTAACCATTTTGAATACCACTGCTGCAGTGTGTGTGTTTTATGCTGGGAGGAGGGAAGGAGGTTGGGGATGACCCCTGGAGACCTGCACTCATCAGTGATAGCTGCTCACCAAAAGCAGGGGGTGCGGAGTGAGGAACTCACCTAGGAAGGGGATTATGGGAGCAGAGTCTGTGTGAATCACATCCACAAACATGGCATCAGATGGGTCCAGCCGAACCAACTCAGGTGTGCCCTGGAAGCACGGCTCCGCCGGATCCAGTCCTGAAAGGGGGGAGGTGGACAGAGAGGCCACACTCTAAGACAAAACAGGATCCGAACTCTGGGCCCACAGAAGCCACGGGGATTCCTGGGCAAAGGACCCGAGGCCCCAGCAGGTTTAGGGAATTGGGTCTGCAGCTTCTGGTCCTCTGGGAGAAGGAGGCTGGGACAAAAAGGCTGGAAGTGCGGTCATTGTCTGTCAAAGCACATCTAGAAGTCCCCAGGTGTGGCCTCCTGCAGCCCCTGGGTGGCACCTTTGTCACCTCATCTCCCTTGTGCCTTTTCCCTCTCACAGATGTTGCTACCTGGCCACTGCTCTCCGAGACTGCAAGCTCCCTGGCCTCGCCCAGCTCCTCCCAGTCCCTGAGCCCCCACACTGTCTATTCCTCTGTGTCTTTGCTTATGCCTTCCCCAGCCTGCTGCTCGGTTCCCCAGTCCCCTCTGATCTAAATCCTTCCCCTTCAAGACCTGACTCAAGCACCCCCTCCTCAGGGAAAATTTAGCCTCTCCTTTCTCAGCTCATGCCAACCACATTGTATAAGATTATTTTGCATTTATTAATTCTGCTTTGAATTTTATGTACCTCCTTAGTTGTCTGCCTCCTGAAGCATGGGCTGTGCCCAGTTCAGCCTCAAAGACAGGCGGAGGGTGGAAGGAGCATGACACACGGGACTCAGTGACCTATGTGCTAGCCCAGGTTCTGCTCAAGGTCAAATGCCTGTCCTTTCTGAGCTCCAGTTTCCTCATCCAGAAAGTGGGAATAACACCTGCCTCTCTTGTAGGGTTATTATGAGAACCCCGTGCAGAGACAGGACTGCAAACTGAAAAATTCTATGCAAACATGAACTCTAAGTCTCTTCTCCTTCACTCAATGTCTAGCACAGTACCCTGAGCAAAGGAGACATTCATTAAATGTTAAATTAAACTATTTGCCGAAGTTCCATACTGATTTGCCTGTACAAAATAATAGTCTTTGTCTGTCTTGTGTGTTTTCATTTTACTTAGTGATTCATTCACTCATTCATTATTTACTGAGCACCTCCTATGCAGCAGGTCTCAGCTAGCTACTCTCATTTTCTGCCTTTGTCTGGCACAGCATAAATATTTGTGTGACAAATTATTATTATTTTTTAATCAGTTATTTATTTTATTTGCTATGCTCTAGCACCACTAACCCTGAAGTCATAGATTTAATGTACTGGTTATATTTACCTTTAAAAAATATAAATGTATTTTTATTTACAGTCATGCATTTTCTACTACAAATGAAAATACATGGATGATTGATTTTTTTTGCTTCGAGTCTAGGTACCAACTAAACTCAGTTCGCAGAGGACCAGTAGGGGCGCCCTTGGCCGTGGGAAGTGCACGTGTCGGTTTCCGGCGCCTGCGCCGCGACTGCCCCGCGCCGAGTGCCCGCGCCCGGATACCTGTGATCCTGCCCACGCGGCCCCCCAGCCTCCTGCCCGCCTCGCCGGCTGCGTGCGCGCCCAGGCTGTGGCCGATGAGGTGCACGTCCTCGGGGCGGTAGCCCAGCGCCGTCTGCAGAGGGATGGCGCGTCAGGGTCACAGGCCGGGGTGGGGGCGCAGCGGCTCGCGAGTCCCCTGAGCCGGCTCGTGCGCGGGGCAACAGTGCTGACCAGCGGCCACCGCGTCAACTGCAGGCCGCCTCGGCGCGGACTGCACGAGCGCGCTGCCTGCTCCCACGCGCACCCCGCTGCCGCACAACCTCCCCGCGACCCTGGCAGGGGTTGGGCCTGTCTGGGAAAGCGTGGGTGATGGGCAGGGCCCCAGGATTCTCCAGATTGGACCCTTCCAGAGGCTATAAAGGTCCTTCCCTCCTAGACGATCTGAAAATGAAGGCTTATTCTCTGAACTGATGACTGCTGGGCAGCCCAGCCTGCTCTGGAATTCCCACAAAAGACTGCAAGGAAGGCTTATTTCAAAAGGGGAAACTGAGGCTCAAAGAGGCTAACTAGTTTGCTCCAGCTCCTTCAACTAAAGATCATCAGGACAATCCTGGAGGGCCGAAGGTTGCAGGTTTCTTTGGAAAAGGCCCTTCTTGGGCTTCCAGGCTTCCAGGCTTCCAGGCCTTGCCCCTCCACCAAGGGTACCCAGGCTGCCTCTGGGTGCAAGGCAGCGCCTCCCTGCCCCCTCTGTGCCGCGTCCCCACGGGTGTGGCCCTGGCAGGGTTTTACCAACAGCCCTTGGATTAAGACAGCTATCTCTGCTCCCACGACCCGAATGTTTTGGACAGCTTGGGTGTATTCTGTCCGGGCCCCATGTTGCCAATCCACACAGATGCAGTTCACCTCCTCCACTTGAAACATTTTCTGGTGAAGAAAAACAAGAGGGAGAAATTGATTTATTAACAGCCAGAAGTTGCACACTCCAGAGATAGGAATTTGTATGCATAAAGCACCTAGTTTGTGTCAAAGCTTTAATATTCCTCACTCTTGTCCCAATCCTCACCACATCACTATGAATTTGGTATGCTTAGTCCCATTTAACAGATGTAGAAACTGAGGCCTGGAATGGATTAAGTGACTTGTCTATGGTCTCACAGATGATTACTAACACAGTCAGACCAAAAAGCTCACTTAGTAGGTCAGGGGTTAGCAAACTATTATCCAAAGGCCAAGCCCACTGCTTCTATAAATAAAGTTTTATTAGAACACAGCCAACCCCATGTTTACATATTGTCTATCTCTGTTTAAGAGCTGCAACAGAATTGAGTTGAAATCATATAACTCAAATTAGGCACAAACGCTGAAATATTTATTAACTGATCCTTTACAAGAAAAGTTTGCTGACCCCTGCACTAGACAGCCGAAGCCACAGGGGTGCTGCTTTTATGTTCCCAACAATGCTTTGGTGGGAGATAAAAGGTATTAGGGAACAAGTTTAATAAGATAACATTTAGACTGAGGTAGGATACAACTCTTTGGAACACGCCTCTTTATATCCAGTGGTGTGACCACAATCTGTGGCCAAACACAGATACTGGTCCCCTGAGAGGAAAAACTAAACTTCCAGGAAAACCACACCATATTCTTTGTTCATTTCTGTGTTCATCTGGGTTTGAGGTAAGGAGGCCAGAGCATCGTGGTGGACTGCCCTCCCATCTCCAGGTCTACATGGCCTCCTCTGGGACCCAGGGGGCATGTATGAACACCCAATCCCAGTGCAGACTAAATCCCTAAGAACTGTGCCCATGTTACCTCCTAAAGGCTAAACCTGTAGACACATGGGATTGTAGTGTCTTATGGACAGAGACCTGGGTTTGCATTCTACCTCTGGATGCAATTTTGGGCAAGTATCAAATTTGTTTATGCCTTAATTTCCTCATCTATAAAATGAGAACAATAACTCATAGCATCGCTGGGAGGGTTAAATGGAAAAAAGACTGTGAAATGATTAGCCCTGTGTCAGGCTTATAGAAAATGCTCGGGAAATGGATGTTATGAATATAATTTATTACATGGTAACGTTAGCACTGTTCCACCCAATACTGTCACCACCAGCCATATGTGGCTATTTAAAATGAGCTAAAATTAAATAGAATTTAAAATTCAGTAATTTGGTCACATTAGCTACATTTCAAGTGCTCAATAAGCACAGGGGAGCTAGTGGCTCCTGATTTGGACAGTGGGAATCCAGAACATTTCCATCATCACAGAACATTCTATTGGATAGCAGTGCTTTAGAGGATAGTTTGTTTATATGTTACACTGGGGTTTTATTAAAACTATCAGAGACAAATTCCAGGTAATTTGCTATACTCTCCACTCCTGGGACTTTTTTATTAGACTTTGGGTCTCTCCAGCTTCAGGAGGAGATGGTTCACTAGGAGTGGGTTGGGAGATTTCACCATGATGCCCCTGAGAACCCAGGTTTTCCTTGGTGGTTTTAGGAAGGACCCTTCTCTCCCTGGAGGATTCCTTTCCCAGTCTCAGGGGCACTGGGGCTGCAGTGTTTGAATCTGTGTTCTGGGCACTGGTCTCACCAGGAAGTGGCCAGGTGAGGAGTGTGGGCCCCTACCTTGCACATGTCGGACAGCCAGCTCTCCTCGCCCTTGTCTATGAAGCCGTGGATGATGAAGCGCGTCTTGCGGTTCATTTGGAAGTTGGAAGCATCGACAGTGGCTAGGTCAGTGGGAGTGATCAGCTGGTTTCATTAAAGAAGATGAATTTGAATGTTGGCTTTTTTAGGCCACTAACCTGTTAGAGGCAATTTCAGTAAGACTGAGGGCACAGGTTCAACTCTCATGCAATTGGAATTCAACTGCAGGCTAGACCAGGCATATTCCTGTCCTGCGGTTTGAGGATAGAATTCAGAGGTCCGAGTTCATGCATGGACTGTCCATTTTCGTTAACCCGATTGACATCTAGCATTTCTGTTTATGCAATTAGGCAACAATCCTCTGTAGTCTTAACAATACTCTGTTACCAATAGAAGTCACAGATATTTTCATGTCATGTTACAGTTGTTGTAGATATTTTAAAAATGATTTATACTCACTGCTATTTTAAATTATAGTAGTTATTAAACCAACTGCTAGGTCTTGTTACTTATGAGATAATTAAAGCTGTACATATATTACAATATTACATATTTATATTTTTTAATGTTCTGTTAACTGTTTGCCAGTAGAATCAGTTTCCTTTGTATTTTATTTTATGCATTTAAAAAAATCCTGGGAATGAGCCCGTAGGCCTCCCCCGATGGCTGAGGAGGTCCCTGGCCCAGAGAAAATGAAGAGCTGCCAGGCTAGAAACACCAGGCCTGGGGGGAGATTCCACTTACTGGAGCTGTGAGAGGCAGCTCAAGCTTGTAAGTTTTACGAACAGACTCCTAAATGCCCTGTTCAGGCCCCTTTCCACCTGCCCCATGGGCAGGATTCCTGAAGAAAGATCACAAAGTAAAAGCAGTACAATAACCACATCCAAGCTGACTCTCAGGGCCCTGAGTGGGGAGTTTGTCCCCCGGCTCAGAATCCCACAGTGGGTGACCTAGGGGACCTGTGGACAGACACCTGGCTCTCTAAACTCTGCCAGGTGTCAGAGCTGCGAGCTGCCTGAGTTCTGAGAGTCCTCCCCGTCACGGTGAGGCATCCCAAGTAAGCCGGTCCTGCTTCTCCTGGGCAGTCCTTCTGGGAACTCAGTATTGCTCTGAGGGTCCCACCCTTTCTCTTTTGTGGTTAAAAGTCCCCTGTCCTGCACCTGTCTTCTTGGAAGGATTTACATCCCCCACCTACCCCAGGGGAGCTTCTCTCCTTCCAATGCTGGGAGCAGGAAGAAGACAGACCCTCCTGGGGACACACCAGTCCTGGGGTTCTGTATAAAAGCTGCTCTTCCCTGCTTCCTCTCAGGAACAGGATTGCAATGCTGGGAAGCCCCTGAAGTTCTATACATGAGAGTGTGTGAATGTCTAACTCTAAGGGTCCTTTGTCTATTCTACAACATAAACATTTTCACAGTGTAAGGTATCCATAGATTTCATCAGACACTTTTAGGGCTTTATGATCCCGAAGCTCAGATGGCTCTGGGTCTAACATTGGTGAGGGAGTATAACCCTGAAAGTTCCAAAGCAGTGCATTTTTCCTTGAACAACCATGTGAAGGCCTTTATATGGGCTCCCAAACCCACCCACCGCGGTCATTCCACGCCTGCTCTTACTTGGAAGTTGTTGGGATTCTCGTTTGTGTACAGAAGAAAGTGGGTGTCAATGTCTTTGGGGGCCCAGGGAAATAACTTCAAAGGACGCTGAAGGATCCCGGCCCATGGTTTTTCATCAGAAAAGCAGCCAAGGGGCCTGTAGCAGATCTCCTTTCCTGGGCAGGAAGAGCAACAGACAGGGTACTTGTGAAACTCTGAGAAGGAGCAGAGCATCTCAGCCACAAGGGGCTCTGCAGGGTGCAGCCTAGACATTGCTGGTCTTTATTTTTGCTGCTCAGCATTCCCCACACTGTGTGATGCTGAGAATTGCCTGGTGAAGGTGTGTATCACATATATACATTCTCAGGCCCTTCCCTCAGAGATTCTGATTCATTGGGTTTGGGGTGGAGCCCCAGGAACTGCATGTTTAATCCTAATCATCAGGCCATGTGGGAATTGCTGAGAATTCCTGGGAACCTTCTGCCTTAAAGGTACTTCTTCCAGATGGTCTTTCACATATATTCATATAGCATCAAATATTTATCAAGTGTCTACAAATTCTATAGCACAGATGCTTCCTGACTCCTCTGGATGTCTCCATACCTCCAGCACAGGCCATGCACACAGTTGGCATTTGTGGGTATTTGTCCAACTCACAGGTCTTCATACCATCCTTTTACACACTTATTTTCTCCAACTAGTCTCTGCCACTTCTGATTTTCTCTGTTGTTCTTTGAAAAATAAGTTTCTTAAGAACAGGATTGATTTATTTTGCATCATACTGTATATAGTAGAGGCTCAATACATGCAACTGATGACTCACATAACCACATCTAAGTCTGAGGTCCTTTGTCTAGTCTACAACATAAACATTTTCACAAGAAATGGCCACTGAGGGTGTTAATCAAATCCAGAGAATTATGGTGAGTCTTCTCTCTCTGGCTTCCTTAAATCCTAAACTGATGGTGCCAAAGGCTAGTCATTCATTAAAAACTGGTAATAGTTAATATATGTTTGCTACATGCCAGATATCATGCTAGCATTTCACCAGCATCATCCCATTTAAGCCTGAGTAAGGAATTAGTATTACCTCCATTTTATAGATGAGGAAACCGAGGCACAATAAGACAAAGTAGGCTGCTTAAGGTCACAGCCAGTGACAGAGGTTTGAACCTGAGAAGTTTATTGGGAATAAAGCTAGGCACTGAGGAGGCATGGAGACAAATCCAGCAAAGCTCTGCCCTGAAAAAGAGGAGCTCTTGCAGGGAGGGAAGAGTCCTAGAGGAGGGGCTGCTGGCGGCCAGAGCAATGCCTGCTTCTAGTGGTAAATAAATGCAGGGGCTTCAAGCCAGGTTCAGGCAGCTGGGCTATTAGGTGGTTGGTGGGGAACACCGGAAGGTGTTGGGCTGGTGGGCGGAGCATGGCACTGAGTTCTGTGGTGTTTGGGGGAGCCAGTGCAGGTGGCCCTGAGGCAGGAGAGCTGGCAGAGTCAGGGGTCCAGGGTGGGGCAGTGCGGGGGCCCTGAGCCTGGAGAGGTAATGGGCATTCTAACCTCAGAGGACAGTGGAAATTAAGGCAAACGTGGGAAGATGAGGTAGGGGGTGGTGTCCGAGCCTGGTTTGGGACAAGTGAGTCCGAGGCATAGTGGGAGGCCCCCGTGGAGCTGCCTGGACCTCGGGAGGATGGGCAGCCAAAGGCTGGGTGAGGGGAAACCCAGAGGAAGAGAAAGATGAGGACATCATTTGCGAGTGACCTCTGGGAGATGCCCTGCTTGGGGCAGGAGGAGATAGTAGACCAGCCCAGGAGGCCAAGAAGGGTCAGGCAGCCTGAGGAGCAGCCGGACCCACCCCAGCCCCTGCTGTTGGGAGCTGGGTCTTGCTCCGTGGCCAGGATGGAAAGGAGGGCCAAGAATGGGCTGAGGACGAGTCTAGAAGACGAGAAGGAGGGGCTGAAATGCAGAAGAAAACCCCAGCAGGGGCCTGAGCAGACCACGTCAGCTCTCAGAGAAGGTGTGCTCCGAGAGGTGTGGGGGGCCAGGCCAGGTAGGGAGGGCTTCTGACTGATGGGAGGAGGTGAGGCAGAAAGGGAAAGAGGCTCCTGAGTGCACCTGCAAGGAGGTGAGGGGTAGGAAGTGAGCGGGCTGTGGGCTCCAGGGGCTTTGGTGGCAAAGGAGGTCATTTCCAATTTAGGACAGGTAGGCCTGGGATCTGGACCTGGTATCTGACAGAAGCCAGAGCAGGACAGATTGGAGCTGGGGAGATAGAGATCGTAACTGTGAGGGGAGGGAGAGGGGGCCATGGGCACGAGGGCAGGCTCACCTGGCAGCAGGGTTCTCGGGGGGACACATCCATGCGCCCTCAGTCAGCAGATGGGCACTTGTCCACTCGAGGGACTGAGGACGCTGCGGGCTGCCAGGAGTGCCCCTCCCCTCCAGCTGCCGCAGCCGCCTGCCTGCCACCTGCCACCTGCCTCATGCCTCACTGCCACCAGGGCCTTAGCGGGAGGAAAGGGACTCAGCCCAGGGGTTACCCGGAGCATGCTGCCTTGGGTCTGCCCCAGAGCCAGCCCTCCCTGAATGCTGACGATTGTTGTTTTTCTTGAAATAATGATAATGCATTAATCACCGTGGTGATAGTGGTGCTGCTGTCCCTAGCTCCCCAGCTGCTTCCCCCAAAAGCCAGCCTACACACAGTCGCCTTCTCCCCGAAGGGATGGTGGGAGCATTCTCACCTCTGACTGTGGCCAGCAGGAGAAGGCCGATGGTCCACGTGGGCAGCATCTGTGGGGATGAAAACACAGACATACAGACACCCAATGTGCACAGGTATGAGGCTGGTAGCAGACCCCAGAAAGGGCAGGGGGCCCTGGCGCACATGGGACGGGGAGTGAAGCAGCGGCCCAGGCCCTGGGCCCCAGGGGGCTCTCCCTCGAGGCAGGGGCCCTGAGGCTACAGCCTCCTCACACAGAGGGCACCGGGCAGCACCGCTCCAGGACCCAGACTCGGGGTGTTCCCACTACAGGGGCTTCCGCCCTTCTGGGCCACCTCCCTTGGGCAGCCCCAGCCCCACCAAGCTCCCTGCCTGAGTAGGGGCTGTGACTTACCGTGTGGCACCAGAGATTCCACTCACCGCCCAGTAGGTTGGCCACAGTCTTTTATAACCAGGCTTTATCCTTTGGACTCCTTACAGGAAAGGGGGGGGAAAGGACAGATAAGGCCCTACACATGCAGGCTTTGAACCTAGGTTATCATAAACACATACAGCTCAGCCGAGGGAGCGGGACTGTTTATAACATGAGATTCAAGGAAAGGAAAGCTGACTCTGGGGATGGGAAGGGCTCTGTTCATCTAAATGTATGGGTTCAGTTGTCAAAAGGTTGTGTTCCCCAAGTGATAACAGAAAGGCACCAAGCTATAGTGCTTCCCGTTCAAAATCCCTCCAGAAACAGGAATCGAAACCTTCTGGTTGCCCTGTGGCTCCTGCGGGGCAGGAATGGAGGTCTAAAGGCCTGCTGTTCTGTGGAGGTGCCTGTCTATGAAGACACACGGCTCGTCTGTGTTGGGGTGGCGACGAACGGTCCTCCACAGCACCTGGGCACAGAATAAGAGAGGGCAGCCCGATGATCAGAAACTTCAAAAGAATTTGTACATTGTTCAAATATAGCTTTGTTTAGAAAAAAAAATGTAGTCTGTTTTAAAAGCATTTCTGAGCTGCATCAACTGTACCTTGACCTGGAGATAAGGTTGGAGGTGTTTTCTTCCCTCACTGCTGAGAGAAGAACTTCAGGCAATAGCCAGGTGCCGTCCTGCCATTTTAAAAAAATTGACATACAATTTAGATGCACTGAACTACATAAATCTAAAGTTGAAACTTAGTACAGTGTAATGACTTTTGACAAATGTATACTTATGTATACACCTTTGATGAAGATATGAAACATTTCTAGCAGCCAGAGGCTTCTCTTATGATGTTTCTGCCACCATCCCACAGCAATACTCTGATTGCTGTCACCATAGAATAGTCTGGTCTGTTCTAGAATTGCATATAAATGGAATGACGCAGGGCATGCTCCTTAGTGTCCTGCTTCTCTCATACAAAACATTTTTGAGACTCGACCATGTTGTTACATGTATGAGTCCTTTTTATTGCCCTGTACACTGTTATATTTCTGTGTGAATATATCACAGTTGGCTTTCCATTCTGTGTTGGCAGACATTGTGGCTTCTTTCTAGCATGGGACTCTTAGGAACAATACTGCTAGGAACATTCTAGCCCAGTACAGGTCTTCTGATAAACATACACACTCATTTCTCTTAGGTTCATAGCCGAGAGTAGAATTGCAGGGTCCTGCAGTATGCATGGTATATGCTTAGCTTTAGGAGATGCTGCCAAACGCTTTGCCCCTGTATGAACTCGCACTGGCAGTTGGCGAGGGTTCTGGGTGCTCCACATTCTCCTCCTGCCTTTGGCCAATCCCAGAAGCACTGAGGTTCCCAGCAGTTCCCTGAAGCTTTCAAGTATAGAAAAATGTGAAACTCCCTCCTGAGAACTCCAAGGCTGGAGGTGAGTAGTGTGGACCACAGGAATGCTAAGGAAGGAACTTTCCTACGTCCAACAGTCTTGAGAACAGCCAAGGTTTGTGGAACAGGAAAGTGATGAAACCCGAATGGGGTTGCCTATGCTTCAATGACCCCGAAGTCCAGTGTTGCCCCAGGAGGTGCCAAGCTGACATCAAGCTGTAGTGCTTCCTGTTCAAAAATCCCTTCAGAAACAGGAACCAAGACCCATCTGGTTTCCCTGTGGTTACTGCAGAGCAGGGCAGGGGTGGGAGATCTAAAGGCTTGCTGCTCAGTGGAGGTGCCTGTCTACGATGGCACATGGCTTGTTTGCTTTGGAGGTCAGGGGGCGGAGAGGAGCTGAGAGATGAGGTCAGGTCAAAGACTCATTCCACTGAGAAGCCTGGAATGACAACATTAGGCTGAATGGAAGCCCAAGACCTGTGCTATGGTGCCAGTGGCTGGCCACCATTCTTGGGAAAACCCAAACTCGCTACCACAGTCCCTAGGGTGCAGTGCTGCCTGGACCCTGCCGGCCTCCCCCTTCCTCCCCTTGAGGCTCGCTCACTAAGCTCCAGCTCCAGGCACACCAGCCATGTTCAGTTTCTTGAAAGTGCCCATCTTGGGGTTTTTGCACATTCTCTTTCCTTTTCCTGAATATGCTATCCTCACTTTTTCTCTCTCAGTCCCAGGTATCTCTCAGGACTCCACTTAACTATTATACCTTCAAAAAAGCCTTTGTCAATATCCAAAGAGGAACCAGACCTTCTTGGCATTTACCGCCATCCTTTTTTATTCCTTTGTAGAATGTATCCCAATTGGTAATTGTATTTCAGTGACTATTTGTTGAGGTCTTGTCCTGGTGGCAGGATCAGGGTCTGAAGAGTCATTTCTATGTCTGCAGAACCTAGCACAGTGCCTGGCAGATACTAGGTGATCAACAAACATCTGTAGGATGAAAGAATGGGACATTGGAAGCTAATGGCTCATTGGGTTGAGGGGCTGGATTATTTCCAGGTCCTTCCTGCCTTCTCCTTCCTGCTCTGTGCCCTGGAATCTGCTCTCCATGGACGGCCTCCGTGGGCTACTTGACCTTGGCCTTCTCATTGGATTGAGCCAATGGGAGGCACCAACGGGAGATCAGACTGTGGGAAGAGGAGAGGCTGGAGGATTTCTTCCCGGGCCGCCTCCCTTCTGTGCTGTGGTCGGGCAGTGTCTGCACCTTTCTCATGAAGGCTGCAGCTCTGCTAAAGCAGCTCATTCCCACCCTCCCAGCTCTGTCCAGATTCTCAGAACAGCCCCCTCTCTTGATGCTTCAGACCACACAGAAATCAGAGCTTCCAGCTGCCGCTAATCCCTGGGTGCTTCAGCACCCTGGATCCCCTTAACCCTGTCCACAGATAGTCCCTTTGAGAAGCCCTTAGAGTGGGCCACGGGGGCTCTGAACGCTGCAGCTGGCCCCTGGACTGGCCCTGAGAGAGAGCTGTCATAGAGGTTCAGAGCCCAGGGGTCCGCTGGGGGGACTAGTTAGGTGGTAGGCGCCACCCTTTCCTGACTCTGCACCCTAAGGAGGATTTCTGTCCTTATTAGGAAGGGGCTGTGGATCCCGCAGTTCCGTGGTATTTGTTTTGCCACTTCTCCTCACAGCAGCTGACGCATCCTGTGACTAGTCTTTTGCCAAAAGTTTAGTAAAGCCTCTCTCATCTCGGGGGGCTTGAGGCCCTGCCAGGGTCTGCCCTGGGAAGGAGGGGAAGGCCAGCACCTGTGGGAAAAGACATTCACCGGCCACATGCTGGCAGGCAGCAAGGTCAGGGCTCTGGGAGACCGGCCAGCTGGTGCAGCAGCTGCCAGGTAGCTCTGGGGTCGGCGCTGGGGCTGGTGGGGTGGGGCTTGGGTCCCCTTCCTCCTGCACTTTAGGCCTGTTGAAACGTATTTGTTCCTCTCCTTCCACACCTCTTTTATCCACTCCCTCCCCTCTATTCCCTTTGCCCTTGTCCTCCGGTAGCTGGCGCGGCCTCCCTCCTGGCCGGGCATCACCCCCTTCAGGGCAGCCTCCCGCCGCTTCCTCCCGGCTTTAATCCTGCGGCTCCTCCGCGCCCTCGGATGCACGGTCCGTGTGTTGGTTCACGCTCACTTTTATGCGGCTTCAGTGTGCTGAACGCTTTCCCAGCCTTGAGGAGCCACAGGGTACAGAACTGTCCTTCCTGCCCCTGTGGGCCTGATGGTCCCATGGGCACAGGCCATGATCGCCTGCAAATAAGTACATAATAACAAATGATCAGAAGTGCTGCAGAGAGAAGGCACGTTGAGGAGGGCTTGCATGTGGGCTGTGTGATTTGGGCTTCGCCTAATGAGAGTAACTCGGGGTATCGGGTGGACAGAATTCAGGTGGAGTTCAAACCCCTAAGCTGAGTGTGCATGGTTGGCCACTGTTATGGGTTGAATTGTGTCCTTCCAAAAGATATGTTGGGGTCCTAATGCCTGGGACCTCAAAGCATGACCTCATGTGGAGACTGGGTCTTTACAGAGGTAAAGTGAGGTCATTAGGGCAGTCCCAGTCCAACATGACTGGTGTCCTTATAAAAAGGGGAAATTTGGGCAAAAAGACTCAGACATACAGGGGGAAGGCCATGGACACATGAAGGAAGAGACTGGGGTGATGCTTTTAGAAGCCAAATATTGCCAAAGATTGCCAGCACCTTCCAGATGGAGGGAGGCATGAACACATTCACAGCCCTCAGCAGGAACCAGCCCTGGGCACCATGGGCTTCCAGCCTCGAGAACTGCAAGTTCTGCTGTTCAGGCCACCAGTCTGTGGTGCTGTGTGATGGCAGCCCGCAGCGACTGAGGTGGCCCCCACTAGCCTCTGGTCCGTTTTACTTTGCCTGCCCCCAACTGCCTTCCCACCCTACAGTTGCTCAGATGGAAGGACTCCCAGTTCTGGAATGAACCTGCCGCTCCCCGCTTCCAAGCTTTTTCATTTCATCCCTGCTGAGGGCCTCCCACCCCATCCCCAGGCTCTTTCCTCCTCCATTCCCATTGCTCCTCTCAGGCTGCACCTGCCCCTTTTTTCCTGGTCCTGGGGAGGTAAGCTCTCTCTGCTCTTAAACCCTGTGACACTGGCTGTCTCTTCCACACTTTCAGTCCCAGGTCCTACTCTGCAGGGTTTCTCAGGCCCAAGCACCCCCATGGACGTCATCCCTGCTGGGTCTCACAGCCTTCGGACTTCCTATGAACCTCATCTTATTGCACATCATGCTGCAAATGGCCACAACAAGAAGGACACTTTGTCTCTATAACTGGTTAAGACAATAGATCATCACCTAAATGAAGACACACAGTTAATGAAGTCTCAGGGAAGAGTATGCCTGGGGTCCTGGGAGCTGAGCAAAGGCTTCTGTTGGAGAATCATGGAAAGGCTGTGTCAGGGCAGAGCTTCACCAGGCTGCACCTGTGTCACCTGGGGGCTGTTAACAAAAGCCTGTGCCTAGGATCATTCTTGGATCGGTCACATGAGGACTGGGATTCCCTCCCTTTTGCATTCCCGTTTTTTTTTAGTTTCCAGTTGATTCTGGTTTGCAGACAGGATGGAGCAGCCTGAGCACTCCCGGAAAGTGCCTGGGCTAATTCCTTGGGCCCTCGGATGCCCCCGGGGGCAGGGCCAGCCTCATGCACCTTGGGGTATGTAGGCAGGGCCTGGGTTGGGTGGGCGTTAAGCCACCATTAGTAAGCACTGCTATGGGTCCAGGGACCCAACACTCTGTGTGCCCACAGCCTTCTGCCAGCTTTGGGTCCTTGGTGAGATTGTGGCCATGTTCCCTAGGTTGCCCCACTCACCTTACAGCACACTGACTTAAGGACAGAGCCTTCCGTTGATTCTCTTCTTAGAGCCTTAAGACAGCAATACCAGCACTACCAGAAGTGGGCTGGGCTGCTGCTTCCATTTTATGATGAAAAACCTGAGACCCAGAGAGATGGAAACCCATTGCCCAAGGTCACCAGGCTTGCCTAGAATCCTGATTGCTAACTCAGTGCCTGCTCCTCGGTGTCTCAGCAGACTTAATGTCTGTCCCTCTGAATCTCATGTTAATAAACTGAATGTGAATATGGCATATTTTCATTACTCCAAAGACTGTATCCTTATGCATTCTGAACAATATACAACCTTTGCTATCTTAAAAACTAATAAAAAACAAAGTCCAATCAAACTGGCCCCATGCAGCCCCTGAAATCTGGAAGTTTGAGCAGATTTGGCCAGGGCCACATAGACAAGGCAGGTGTACCTGTCCACCTACAATGGGCCTCAAACTCCACATTGCCCCGGGATGTTTGTTTGCATGGTGGTCTGTGGGGCTGAGCTTGGTCTCCCCAGCAGTGTCAGGAGGTAGCTGATCCGTAACCACTCTGGGCCTGGTCCCTCTAGAGCTGGGGTTTCCATCAGCTGCCTCCTCTGCACCTGCAGTCAGGATCCAGGTCACCCCAGGTCCCCAAAGCTCAGGGCAGTGCCCTAGCTACGCACTTGTGGGGAGGCCAAGAGCCTTGGGAAGGCCTGCTGCCCCATACACCACCGGCTTCCTCCCTCCAAACTTTTCTCAGTTTCCTTCCTGCTTTACAGTAATTTCCCCCAAGTCATTGGCTGTACGTGTCAAGCGAGCAGGCTGTCCTCAACCAGGGAGAAAGGCTCTCATCACCGCCAACCACTCCCAGCCTTGGTTCTGCTCGCTGCCCTCGTAGGGTCCTCATACCCTCTTGCCTGGATAGCTGCAGGTCCCCTCCTCCTAGCTGGCCTCCCAGCCTGCACTCTCAGTAGGCTACCTTCCTGCAAGCCTGAGCCTAGAACCAATAGGCCACGCCGTGGCTCCTTCCCCGTCTTGCTCCTCCCACCTCCGGGGCACCCTGTCCTGGGACATGCCTTGCTTTTTGAACCTATGAGATGTAGCAGCTTTTACTGAGGTGCTGGGCTCTCTACTTCCGTGCTCGCCTGTAAGACTGAGTTGAAGGCTGCTGCCCTCTTGCCCTGGTGCCCAGCACACCGCCGGTGTTTGGAGGTGTTTTTGGAGTCCACATCCCACTGGTTGAGGGTGGGGCTAATGGCTCTGTGGAGGCTCCTGGGCACCCACACTCCAGTTCTGCTGTCCCATGCACCCCTTCAGGTGAGGGGAAGACAGCGGGCATGAGGATCAAAGAAGTTGGGAGAAAAGGGTGTGTGATATGAGTTCAATGGCAGGAAACCCAAATACATGGAAATGCTCGGGACATGTTTAAACATTCCACTTTTAATGTCCCCACAGGGGCCTGCTGACACAGAGACAGACGCTGGGAGTAGACAGATGCACCAGTGGGTTTTACTGATGTGCCCCAGAGGCTGCTCTGCGCCTGGGCTTTAACAGGGCATGAGGGTGAGCAGGACATCCTCCTTCACGGTGCTGTCGCTGCAGAAGTCATACCTGGGGAGAAAAATGAAGGCTTTCAGAGTGCTGGGCATCTCTGCATGGAGAGTTGCGTTATTAAGAACAAATAGTTGTTGACTTCCAATTCAAAGGGACGTGGGAAGCCCTAGGGTTATAGGTTCAACCAGTTACTGGAGAAATGAGAGTCTCGGGGCTTCCGGTGTGACTGGTGGCCGGGCCCTGGGACAAGGCTGGTTGCTGCTCAGATGGCCCCTGGTCTCTGGCTCTTCTGGCTAACAGCACTGTGGGCTCCTGGCCCTCCATAAACACATAGATCAGTTTACAGATGGCTCACTCTTGGCTCAGGCACCCTCGGGACGGATGCAGCATTAAAGTAGCCATAATATATGGAGCTCTTAACAGCTGCAGGAAAGGATGCTAAGTGATCCACTTGTGCCAACTTCATCCTCACAACACAAGTGTGAGGAGGTATTCTGAGTCCTACATGGCAGGAGAGAAAGCTGATGCAACTGGGCTCTCAGCAAGTAAGTGAAGCACCAAGATGCAGCCACAGGACTGTCTGATGCCATCTTCCATGGCAGGGTCACAGTTCAAACCTCCCTTGACGATGCCTTCAGACCTGGCATCAGTAGACCTGACATTCCCTGGTTCCCCCTCCCTGCCTTCGGGGTGACATGGGGCTGGTCACCCTGGTGTCTGCATCTGTAAAAGGCATGGCTCCTTCCCGAGGTTATCTGAGAATCTCATGTCAATAATGCAACCTCTCATAAGAATAAATAAAAAAAAGCTTTATAATTAATAATAAAGGCAATGCAGCTATAAATGGTGATCATTAGGGTTATTCCAAGAGCATGGGGTTCTCAGCCTCACCCAAGTTCGCTGCACTTTGGGCCCTGCCCGCCCTCCCTCTCCCCCTTACCCATGAGCCCGCTGCCCCTGCTGAGCCCTTCCCAGTCCAGATCCCTCAACCCAAGAGATGCCTCATGGCCCAGGCATGGGAGGACTTGGCCACACCTCCAGCATGCACAGGGCTCCCCCAACCCGGCCTCCCCCATGCTGTGCCCTAGCTGAGAGGCCCATTGTTTGCATGACCACTCGGCTGGGCCAGCTCTTCTGCCCACCCTGGTTCACAGGGATAGAAAGGACCTCACAGAGGTGGTGCAGTCTCATGAGATGTGGCTGTGAAGTCTGCCCACCCATCCTTCCTGCCTGGAGAAGGGACATTCCCTGACACCCAAGTTTAGTGACCCCACCTAACCTCCCAAACCTCAAGGCAGTCACTGACTAAGAGCCCAGGATCCCCTTCCCAACAAAGCCACAGCAGGAGTGTTCTGATGGCCAGACTTGGGGTCCAATTCTGGAGGACAGTTTCCTTGCCACCTCCAGTCACTACTCTACATCCTTGCAAGTGCTGCAGCAAAGCCACTACTAGTCAGGATGAAGGTTCTGCAACTACTGATACTTCACTCTCTCCTGTCCTATGTCAGATTTTATACCTTTTGCTGAAATCACTTTCTTTTTCCTTTTTTTATCCTGAAATTTCTCCTATTTTCCCCTCTTTAAATGGTAGCCACCTTCTAGCCCATGCTTATAACCTCATGCCCTTCAGAAATTCTTTCTTGCTGGTCTTTCTCATTTTCCCTCCTTAGTTTTCCTTGAAGGCAGGGTCATATCTTCTGTACCCCTCACAGGCAGTGCTGTGAACCCCAGTGGAAATGTTTTACATTCTCTATTGTTTGTTTGCCTGGGAAGAAAGGGCCCCAGATGGTATGTTGTCTTGGCTTTTCTGGCTGAGCCAACACTGACTTTCTGAGGTGAGTTTTCATTACAAACGTGAATTTCTACAGCCATACGTAGGCACAAGCCAGCAAAGATACATACACTCTTCTCTCCTCTCCCATTTGCACAGTGATCTTGGAAGCACCCACTTTGGGCAAGGTTGGGTTTACCACATGGTTATTCCAAAGAAACTTGACTTTCTCAATTGTCCCAATATCAATCTCTGCGTCAAACTCATTGGAATGGGTGGAGCCTGGTATGATTATCCCCCTTGAAATAAAGAAATAGAAACAGTGTCATGTATAGAAACAAGTTATAATGACTATATAAGGCCATGCCACTCTCTTCTGCTCTAGATTACTGAGATTATTTTTCCAAACTTGTTTTCAAGTAAAGGATGGAGAAATGGAAAAGCCAGCTTATGTATGTGGGCATTCTCAAACTATTGTTTAAATATTGTTTCCTTAAACTCAAGTTAATTTGTTCTCAAAATTTTCTTATAGAAATCTATATAATTCCTTCACATTTTTTTTCTGGCAGAATCATTTGTATAGTAACAAGCTGTCCACTTAGTTTAATACAAGTGTGTGTTAGTTACTATGCTAATCATAAAACATTTATCTGATGTTGTATTGGATTTGTTTTAAAAATCCGATCTGTTCAAAGAGAAAGATCTAAATGCCATGATTTATAATAGAGAAAAGAAAAATTGTTAGTAGAGATCTGAAATTAAGTTCACTGCATCATGTAAATAATTTAAAATCCACTGATAAAAAGAAGATAAGAATTTCAGCATGGATTTGAATTCAAGGCTGTATATATCATCAAGTGAGATGTGGTGCAAGAAAAGTAAATTTACCTGAAGATGTCAAATTGGTGAGTGTTTCCTTTATCTCCAAACAAAGCAACTTTTACCTCACCAGTTACTGTTCTTCCAGACAATGTTACAGAAACTCCGTATCTCCAGCCTGCACAAGAGATAGAAACGAGTTCCATTTATTTATGCACAAAATATTTGACCCGTATCTCAGGTTTCTGCCCCTTACACTAAGAGACCAAAGGATAAGAAATTCTACCTGTTGATCAACAACATAAGCTAGGCTATAAAGAGAAATATGCATGTATCTAGCTGGGTTCCCCTCTTAACTTGCACTGCCTAGTAAAGGGGCCACTAGCCACATGTGGTGGCTTAAATTAAAATTAAAATTAAATACAGTTAAAAATTAATTTCTCTGTTTTACTAGCCATATTTTGAGTGCTAAATTGCCACATGTGGCTACTGGAACACATTGGTCAGCAAGGAACATTTCCATCATTGCAGAAAAGTCTGTTGGACGACTCTGCCCTAGACTGGCAGTACTATGGGATAAAGTGCAAAGAGAAAGAACAAGAGCTTGTCCCCATGTTAGGAAAGGTAGCTGAGGGGTGCTGTCCTGGGAGCTCCTCAAGGGCAGGGTCTGTGTCTTATCTCTGCTCCCCAGTGCCCCAGGCAGCACCCAGACACTGGATGCAGGGCTCAGTTACTCCCCAGATTTACACCTGGAGAGCTGTCTCAGTGCCCCATGAGCACACGCACATATACACAAACCTGCACACGTGTAACCACACACTCACATATGTACTCACACATGTATACAAATACACACATCCAAAATTCACATACATACACACGCACACACATACATACATAAACACATGCACATCTTTTGTCTAAACTCCTGCTTGTCCTCCACATCCTCAGAGATGTTGTCACTGTCCCTTCCTCTGGCCAGGCCCAGGGCCTCCATCCCAGTTCCACAGTAGCAACCTGGCAAGCCCAGCACAGTGACACTGCCTGCTCAGTTTCATCTTCTCTGCTGAGCTGTCAATTTCATGCGTAGAGTGTCTTGTCCATTCCTGCACCTCCGGTGTCTAGCACAGTGTGTGCCCCCCAAATAAACGTGGGTTGAGGGAATGAATATATGATTTTGGAATGTTTAATTTGTTCTTTTAAAATATGGGCAAGTATTTCATGCATCACTACCTCAGTGGGAGGATTGATGAGTCAATGTCTTTTTAAAAAAATGTATGTCGTGATGGAAAGTTTCCTTATCTTTATTGTGAAGATGATAGGCATGACTATCTTTCAAAACTCACAGAACTGATACATCAACAGACATGACTGCAAAAACAATATAAGACATGTACAATTTTATGCATTTCCATTAAACACAGTCTCTTTCTTGCAGTGCAACATCTTAGGGAGCTAACATAGGGCAGGTTGGCATGATGTGCTCCAATCATGCCCCGTCTCTACACTGTGTCCCAGTCCATTCAGCAGATTTTTTGAGAGAAATCACCCCTTTCTGACTCCTACCCACCCTCTCCCAGAAAGGCAGCCCTCGGGCATCAGGGATGCATGGACAGGGGTGGGGAAAGAGGGGATTGAAGTTGTAAGCAGCCCTGCCCAGCAAAGAACTGTTACCAAATAAATTTTTGTTGAATGACTAGAACAGATTCATGTGACATAATCTTAAAAATGAAAAGAACAATGAACTGTGGAGTTGTAAAAATTCAGGGTAGATAGCCACAGGGAAATGCAAATTGCTATTACCCCATTATTATCCCATTATTATGCTATCTGCTTCCACTCATTTCATGCCATAGAAATAAAATGGAAGAAATAAAAACTCTCCAAATCCTCAGTTGAGTCTTTAATGGGATCATTTGGGTGAATGTGTCTTTTCACTAAGATAATCAAAATGTGCCCACAAATATTGCTGGTTAGGGACAAGCCCGTCATGTGTAACAGAAACTTTTCTTTACCTGGGCAAGAAAGCCGAAAGGCAACTTACGAGCAAAATTGCTGGAATCTCCTGTGTTCAAGAAGAATCTCTGCTCCTCTTCACTTTTCTTGGCAGCAAATTTATCAGCATAGTGGCCCATCTGTGGGCATCCTTCAGCCGGACAGGGGAAGCACTTGTTCTAATGAGAAGAGACTGATCAGGTGGTAAGGTGTGAATTTGTCTTTTTATGATCCACCCATCTAGGGGAGCAATTTTCCTACAGTCTGAATTTCCCCATTTCTATCAGGAAGGGGATTGGCATAGCTGATCTCTAAATCACCTTCCTCCAGGACAGGGCTCCCAAGCCTGATGTACATGACATTAGAATTACTTGGAGACCTTTAGAAAGTACCCATGTCTGGGCACCAGGTTAGCGCAGTTATGCCTTCCACAGAGTGATGCGCCGGTACACGAGTTACAGCTGACTCGGGGACCAAAAGCCCTGATTACCATTGACCAGCTTCCGTGGTATAAATACTGACTGTGGCCAACTTCAGGCTGCCAACATGCTGTCACTGAGTGTGGAGCTGGGGTGAGCCGTGCACTGGCTCCCACCTACCACTTCTCCCATCTCTCCTCTTGCTGCCAGGGGCTTTTGCCCAGCCTGGCATCCACCTGCCCTTCTCTCAGGTGGGTGAATTCTTCTCTCACATACTTTCTGTTCTTGCCCTGCCCTTGTCAGAAATGTGTACTCCTTCTCTTCCTTCTGAACTCTTTGATTTTCCAAGCCAGATCCAAACATGGCCTCCTCAGGAAGACTTGCTAGATCACTGATCTGATGCTTTTCTCTCCCGTTCTCCAATCTGCTTCACACAAGTGACTCCTCTAGACTTTTAGCCACCTCCTGCCTGAAGTGTTCTCATTCTTCACTTCACAGGACCGTGAACTCGGAGGGGCAACGCAAACAAGTCTGGATGGTCAGAAACCAGTGAGAGGTACTGCAAATCCCAAACAGCCAGACAACATTCCCACAGTGGGACAACAGCTTACAGACTCGAAGGCCTTGTAGGAGGCACAGGGGTACGCTGCAAACCCATCGGGGGTCAGGATGCTCTCCGAGTAATACTTGTAGCTTCTCAGGTGATTGCAAGCCACAAAGTCCCGGGTTCCTGGGGAAGCAGATGAGGAAGTGGGCACAGGCGGTCAGGGGGCTGTGACAGCTTCTCTGCCTCTCTCTCCAAGTGGGTTGGTTCCAAAGTGGGACATTTTCAGAAATAAAAGATGAGTTGTAAATCCAGGCACAATAAAGACAGTTAACCTACAGAGGGGGCCTTCTGTGTGCCAGGCAATGCTGTGCCAGGCAATGCTCTGAGCACGTTACATATGTTGTCCTTGTAACCCTCGCCTTTCCTAGGAGGAGGGTCCCACACCATCCCTAAGATCTATGGAGTACAGCCTCAGGTTCACAGGTTACAGCTGGGAAATGACAGTGCTGGAATTAAACTCAAGGCCATCCAGGGCTTGAGCCCATGCCTCTAACCTCTGTTCCACCCAGTAACCCAGGCACCAGGCTGGAGGTGTTTAAAAACACAACAGATGTGACATGACCTCCCAGACAAGACAAAACAGAACCAGGACAAGGACATTTTCCTGTGATTAGTCAATAAAAAGGGGGGGTGGGGGGGCTTGAATAGCTTCCAGTGGCTCCCTCACTTATAGTATCTTGCTCCCGACCATCACAACCCCTGCCTAGTGACAGATGTCACGGCACCCCTTCCTGACCTGGCCAGGTCTGCTTGGTCATTGCTGATGGAGAGTTTCGGCTACCCTGTCTATGCAAACCCTCATGAGGCTGTCCAAGACAAACACTAAGTCCACATCCTTACTGTTTGCTTTGATGGCATCCATACTCACTGAGCCATTTTGACCAAATTCAATAAAAATGTTTACTTAGTAGATGTGGTCAGACCACAAAAGGTTTTAACCTGTGTGGTGCCAAATGATGAGTTTGGCTGGAATGGTCATCTACCCAAGATCCTTTGACCTTATTAGATACAGAATGAAAGCTGTATCTGAAGGAGGCCCTTTGTCTCAGGAATGCTCAAGGAATGATAAGGAACAACCACCTCGAATAGCACAGTTTCCACTCTGATTGTCCTTAGCTGTGATCTAGTCTCACTGCTGACCCAACATAGAGTGGGGATTCTTATGCAAATGGTTTAGCCATGGAAATGACTGGGCACATTCTCATTTTGGCTGCAGAATTGAGGCCAGCTACATAAGCTTGAGCCATATCACTGATTCCCAAGGAAAAATCGGCAGGGATATTCTCTTGCATAGAGCTGGGATGCTTACTTTTATGGTATTTCTTTTCTTCGTTAGGTAGCTACCAGTTGATTGTTGAAGTTATGGCTTTAAGCAATGGTTAAATTCCCTGTTTCTTGTATGTTCCAGGGCATCCACAACAGTGTTTTAGGGAAGTTCAAAATCAGGAGAGTGGATACAACAAATAATATATAACTCAATTTTTCAAAAATAAGGTCTAGAAGGGAAAATTGTATATTTTTGAAGAGCCATGTGCTTTTATATTTAAGATTTGCTGTGGGAAGACTCTGCTCACCCCAGGGGAGTGATGCTGGCTCTGCTCTGGCTTTACCTTCCCAGATGCCATCGAGGTCCACAATCTGTGACAGGAGATTCTTCTTGCATCCTGGCATCTCCTCTCCTCCGTTCGGGAAGAAGTCGAGGTGACCCATCAGTTGGCTCGATCCAAACCCTGAAATGTTTGGAACAGCAATGATATGCATGGCTCTCCTGGTTAAAACATAACTGTACCTGCTCATGGCTGCAGTATCTTGGGGCTTACCCACGAATGGGATCAGGGGAGCTGCATCCGTGTGTATCACATCAACAAAGTCAGCATCAGAGGGATCCAGTCGAACCTCTTCAGGAGCACCCTGGAAACTTGCTTCTACAGGATCCAACCCTAAGAGAGACAGGCAGTGCTGAAGAACACCAGGTCTGGCTGTAGGTGACAGCAGGACAAGGTGTAGTTGCCCAGGCTGTGTGTTGCCCAATTCAAGGGACACCATCCCCTACAGTTGTACAGTGCCATGGCCCTGGATATTGAAATATGGGACACAGAGTCTCAATGCATGGCTCTCCTGGTTAAAACATAACTGTGCCTGCTCATGGCTGCAGCATCTTGGGGACTTATTATAAGAGGGCTTCAGTGGCACAGAGAAAGAAGGATAGATGAGCAAAGAGATGTAGATTTTGTTTGAGCAAGGATTTTTTCCATATCAGATTCTATCTTTTATATTCTTTACATATATTCTTTATTATATCTTCCAACATTCTCTTTCTTTTCCCAAGTTTTAAGAATAAGGGGTACAGTAGTATTATATAATAATTGAGAACAGATTCTGGGACTAGGCTGCCTGACTCCAAATCCCTATTCAGGTATTTCTTGGGCAAGTTGCATGACCTTGGGTAAATCAGTTGACATATTTTTTTGTGCCTCTATTTCCCCATTTATAAAATTGGGCTAATAACATGGTTAGAATGAGATTAAAATGAGATGATATATAGCACTTAGCACAGTGCCTTGCATATTGTCCTGGGTATATAAGTAAAACATTTATTATTAATGCTTCATCCCGATTATATTTCCTTCTTATCAGGGCTCCTGGATTTGTCGATAATTTTTTGAAGGTTTGGTCAGAGCAGCTGAATGGCATAAATGTAATTGTCTTTTGAAAATAATACAGGGAGTTCTTATGGGGCAGAGACTTGCTTGAGCCAAATGACAGCAGAACTGGGTTTGAATCTCAGTTCACTGGTTTGCTGTGGGATCCTGGGCAAGTTCCTCACCTCCCTGAGCCTGTTTCTTCAGTTCTCAAGATGAAATGAGACAGCATAAAGCACTTTGTGCAGCGTTTGGGATAGGTAGGCTTTCAATTTATGCGTATAATAATGATCGCAGTAGTACATTATTATGAATGTATTTTATAGATACAGAACATGCTATTTTAAGTTAAAGGCTTTGCTTGGGTTAAAAGGATACTTTTGACTTGATGGTTGCTAGCTTTCTACCAGCAGAGACAATGGGAGCATAATTTTCATGTTCTGTTCTGCCTCTGATTTGAACAACAGGTCGAAAAGGATTGACAATATGGACTTGCCTTAATTATGTTTGCTCAAGATCATGCTAGCCTTCCTCTGCATTTCCTGGGTGCTCAGGCCTGCTGAGAGGCCCACATTGCCAGGGAACTTGGCTCCAGAGAAGGGGGACAGGCACAGAGTAGAAGAAGCAAAGAGAAGCAAAGGGAAACAAAGTCACCAAGCCACCACCTCCCCTGCCACAAAAATGGGCTTCCTGAAATGTTCTGGAAGGCTCTAACTAGCTCTGCCACCTCTGAGAGGACAGACTCCTTTGGGCAGCTCCTAGCTGGGATGCAGACTTGCACCATGTTCGGGGGCTATTGGTGTTACCTGTAATCCTGCCCAGGCCTGGGGTCTTGCGCCCTGCTTCTCCAGCCACATGGGCTCCCAGGCTGTGGCCAATGAGGTGGACTTGGGAAGGTGAGTAGCTGTGGTTTTTCTGGAGAGGGAAGACTATTTTCAGGACGTTTTTGGGTTGTGGTTTTTGTAACATGCAAACCTAACATATTACTCCTCTCTGAAAACCGTCCAAGGCTCCCACCACACTCAGGATCAAGCCCTAACTCATTTCGAGGGCTTCAGAGCTTTCTTGACTCAACACCTATTTTCCTAGACTAGTCTAGCCAAACCCTTTGTGGAAATTTCAGGCCCTCAAATACATTTGAATTCTCCTGCCTCTGGGTCTAGTTTGGATAACCTTTCCTGTTGTTGCTCATCTCCCCAGCCACTTGCCCAGCTCACGGTGACACAGCCCAGCCGTTAGCTCCCAACTTAGATTCCATGTCCTGGGAGACATCCGTAACCCTCCCAGCCCTCCGGTGTGGAATAACTGCCCCATGAGGTGCTCCCATAAAGTCTGGAGTCCCCCCATCAGAAGGCTAATCACACTCTATCATCATTGTAAGCCTTCACCACAGGCTTTTCCAGGACCTGGGACCTCAACCATCCTCTCCACCTCCTAGCAGAGCTCCTGACACTGTCCCCCAGAATATTGGATGAGCAAATAAAAGACATAGAGGGATGACGTGTTTGCACATGTTGGTCTCAGAGGTGTTGACCCGCATGTACTCATTTACTGGTCCACAGGGCCTAGTAAAAACTCAGTGACGCCGAGTGGTTAGAGCCACTCTGTTCTTGCATAGACCCTTTAGCTATAAGGCAGAAATGGCTGGGGTCTTGGTCTGGTGTAGAAAATAGTCACAAAGAATTAGTGACTTAAATTTTAAAAATTAAAGTCTTATTGAATTACCTAAAAAGAAAGATGAAGGTAGGCAGAACAGCTGAACTGACTGCAGCAGAAGACATGCCCTAACATTAACAGGTCAGTGGAGCTGGCACGGGCCAACTCCATGTGCTGCCCTTTGGTTTCAGTCATCTCTCCCTGGAGGTGCTGCAGTCTGCCTGACTCGGAGCCCTCCTAGCATAGTGGGGGGCCCTGGAGCAGATGATCTTGGGCCCAAACATAACTCTTGTATCTACCTGTTCTATGATCTTTTGGGCAAACTAGTCAATCTTTTTGGGCCTCAAGTTTTCTTAAATGTCAACTGAAGACAATAATAAAATTCCCCACCTCCTAAGTATCAGCTATTACTGTTTTTTCCTCCACTGGCGTGTTATTATTCAGGCAGATTTCAGAGGTTTAGGAGTAAGACTGAGAAAAATATCAAGTCTTTCTATTTCTCCTTAAGCATGTAACTCCCAGCCGCCTCTTTCCCCAACATAGACGGTGGGTGCTGCTTGTCTGGTCAGCAGCCCAGCCTGCCAGGACTCACCGATAGCATGCCGAGCATCTGGGCCACCTGGGCGCCCACCACCCGCACGTTGTTGGCGGCTTGCGTGTAGGTGGTTTGGGCACCCTTCCTCCAGTCCACACAGATGCAGTTCACCTCCTCCACCTTGAACATGTTCTGGTGTCGGAGAGACAAGACACCAGGGCGTTGTCAGGGAACGACGGGCAACCACATGCAGCCGGGGCTCAGAAATGGTTTCTAACAGTTACTGCTGCCTGTCCTTCTGCCTTTTCCTAGCTGGGGCCCTGACCTAAACTAGACTTAGGTGGGAATCGTGTTGTCAGGAGTTATCCCTTGGGATGAATGCTGTAAGAAAGACAAATCGATGTCCTCTCTAGCTTGTAGATTAATTAAAAGCAGGCCACACTCTGGTTTTCTCTAACCAAATTCACCAAGGTTGATGAGGTGAGGTCGCATCATTAAAAGAGCCCTACTTTGAAAACAAAAGGTCTCAACTGCGTCCTCTGGTGGCCAGAGTCTGCATGACTCCGTGGGTTTGACGGTTAGGGGTCCTTTGAATTACTGGGCTTTTCACCTTGTCTGCTGGTCATTTCCTAAGGAAGTGTCACTATTTTTACAATTAGGATGTAACACATTATTTTATGGAAGAAACACACACTGGAGACATTTGAAAAATAAAACTGCATTGATTTAAAAGAGATTGAAGAATTCTTAAAGAAAACTTCTTGTGGATGTCAAAGGAACTAATGTATCTTTAAAAGTTCTGCTGAGCAACATATATGAGCAACATAAGTTTAAATGATACTACAAATTTAAAATCCACTTAGAATCACCTCACATATGTGATGCTAATATGTGTGATCACACATTTGGAGATACTGAGTTTTTTCTCAGGACTTTTTGAATCTACCTTGAGGAATCTTTTAAGACCTGGAGAATTTAGGGTATAAACTGTATCTTACTGTTTATACATTAAGATACTTATTAACGATGGGACAGAAATATGAAGAGTTAGATGCCCAGTACACTAAGGACAAATGTAGAATGACTTTTATTTTCTGGCTTTATAACTTCTTGTTGACATTATAGGTCAGAGTTAGTGTGCGTGGAAGACAGGCTGCTAAGGCATCTTTAGGTGTCACAAAAATAGGTTCAATCAGTGCACACATTATAAAAAGGGTGATGGTATATTGTGTGCATATTTGTGTTCGTGTACCTGTGCCTGTGTGTGTACACGCGAGTGCGTTCTTCTGTCGTCTGTCCGTCTGACCAACAGAGGTTTTCTTACATGTACTTTCGGCATTTTCTATTCTGGCCTGCTAGTCACCCTGTCAATCATCGTTCTCCATTTCTCAAATAAATGGTCAGAACAATATATCTCTGACTCTCAGGGATGTGGGAAAGACTTGAATAAAAAGAACATAACCCCTCATTTACAGTGAATACAAACTGTAAATGGAAGTGGACAATCTTTGGTCTTGATTTAACCAGAGATGAGAGGGTGGAATTGTTTGTTCACATAGTGAACGTCATTACTTCAGGCTATAGTTGTAGCCCAGAAATGTGAAAGTGATATTTTATTTTCATTAAGAGAGGCATTGCTTAAAGGTGCCCCATATGTATGGATTCCCTGTTTCTGAGCTCATTTACTGTGTTTGCTTACAGGACCTAGAGACTTAGTGGCCAGCTGTGGCAGTGGTCTACAGAGCAGTCCACAGTCACTGCAGCCGGCCCTACCTGGCACATTTCCAGCAGCCAGTTATCATCTCCCTTGTCTATGAAGCCATGGATGATGAAGCGTGTCTTCTTGTCCATTTGGAAATTTGATGCCTCAATTGTTGACAGATCAGTGGGAAGGAGAATCTGTGACAAATGCAGAAAGGGAACACGTTTTTATAACTCGGCCACTCCGGCCTGTTTCTCCCTTCTCCATCTTTGCCTGTTCCTATGCCATGACCCTTTAAAGCTTTGCACAAAAGCCACCTCTTCTGTGAAGCCCACCCTGACTCCCCTTTCCCTGTCCCACCTCCCCACATCAGGAATCATGTCCCCCTTGGGGTCTGGATCGTGCTCACAGTCTTATCTTCCATAGGGTTGTTGTTAGACAGTAAGCTCTTTGCCCCAGACCAGAATCACACACACCACCAGAGGTTCTAACAGATGCGAACCATTCATTCATCCAAGCCAACATTTTACTGAAGACCTACTCTTTCCAGGTCTGGCCAGGCCTGGGGGTAGCTGGAGGGATGGGGAGGGATGGAGCACAGCGGAAGAAGAGGGTACAGAGGTAAGGAACTCCTGGTTTGCCGGTGGGCACAGCCCCTCACCCAGTTACCATGACATTAACATGAACAGAGGTCTCACTTGGAAGGTGTTGGGGTTCTTATTGGTGTAGAGCTGGAAGCGGGTGCCGATCTTCTCCGGGCTCCAGGGGAGAATTTTCAGGGGCCTGATGGCAGTCCCTGCCCAAGGCTCAGCATCGGAAAAGCACCCGATGTCACCATAGCACACTTCCTTTCCTGTAGAGATGGGGGGACTCTGCTGGGGGCTGAGCTCCCGAACTGGGCTCTGGGACGCCAGGCCTTCCCTCCCCTGCCTGGGGACAGTCTGAAGACGATGGGGAAACCCCACCTGCCTGCCTTGTGCCTACGGGATGATCTGGGACCTGCCCCACCTAATCCCTCAGAGACAGCATCTGTGCTTCTGCTCAGAACCACCATCAAGACTTAAAAGTTCCGTATTCCATCCCCAGCTCCTCAGGTATTTATCTGAGCAGTGTGTTCATGGGCACTGGTCAGCATGTTAACCCTGGCAGCTGTTTAATGCTTTACCTAGTGAAATCTGGCCTAGGGTATCCTGGGCACAAAGGTAGGCCATGGGAGATGCTCTGAAGTGGATTCCCTCCAACTGCCTCCTCCCCAGGGCGGAGTGTGAACTCTGACTGCCTCTCTCTGGAACCTTGGAGTTGTCTGGAGCTGCTGGAAGTCCTACCTCAGCTGAGGCTTTCTCTGGCCAGGGTGCAGATGCTGCATTTAAGCCCTTCCTGAGGGGCAGGTGTGTTTCCTACCTTGGACTGCTCCAAGCAGAAAAAAGGCAATTGTCCAGATGGTCACCATCTACAATAAATTCAGACATGCTCAGCCTCACCAAACATGAGCAGAGCAATGAGCAAAGCCTCTCAGGAATTCAAGGCTGTCTGCTTCACGGCTGGTGGGAGACCAGCAACGGCAACTTACCCTGTCGGGCGTCCCAGGCATCCCTTCCCTCTGGATCAAGTGCCCAGGCTGACTTTTATAGTGGAGCCTTATCATTTGGAAGCTGCTCCAAGGAAACACCAGGTGAAGATAGGACATGCTGTGTGCACTTAATATTTTAATCTGCACAAACACATAAAACAAGATTAATAATAGGGTCAAATCTTCCCAAGTCTGGGAGATGAAAGAAGGCTTGATTAAAAGGGGGTGAAATGCCCCTGTGTACCTGTGCATGTAATTATGAGCCAAGTGGCCTCCACTTTCCAGTTCTCTATTTCATTACCAAGTAGTTTATGCCTCCCAGGAAGGATGCAGTGGCAAACTCTCGCGATGGAGGGTAATAGTTCTCACGCAGAATAGATGGAAATGCCCCCGAATAGCTGAAAGCAAAGGGAAGCAAAAACCTCTTCTCTCTGTCTCTCTGTGTGTGTCTTCTCTCTCTGTCTCTGTCTCTCTCTCTGTCTCTCTCTCTCTCTCTCTGGCAGTCTAGTAGCGACCAAGCACATGAGCTCTGGGGACATTCAACAGCCCAATAGTCTCTGCCCACAATTCCCATAAACTACCTGTTACAGGTATCTTCAAGTAGGTAATGAACCAACATAAAGCATAATGGTTTAGAGCAACAGCAACTGTTACATTACCCACTATAATTTTGAATAGCTGGGTTCAGGAGTGCCTAAAACCCCACATCACCAGACCATGTCTTGTCACCAGACCATGTCACGTCTGTTGAGTTTCCCCAGGCCTTCTGAAGTTCGCACACCTGTCCTACGAGACTAGGCCCATGTGATGCCATCATGAATTAACCACAGACCTGTGCATCTGTGAGCAGCTTGGTCAGTTCACACAACAGGCAGATAAGCCTCCACATGACAAATACCACAGGTGGCTGGCCCTACTCCCAAGTTAAATAAGCCTACATGTCAAAGTTCACACTCCCGAATAACCTAACCACTGGGGTACAGGCTGAAGTGTCACCCTGTTTAGAAAGTGGAAAGGACTTTGCTTGAAGTAATAAAGAACAGCAGCCAGTAGTTATTGAGGCTTATTAGGTACAGTCAGAACACTGTACATGTATTACCTGATTGAAGTCTTACAAAAACCCCATGAGGTAAATACCATTCTTTGCTTCCTTTTAGCTGTGGAAACTGAGGCACAGAGATAAATAAATTGACTATAAAGTCACAGAGCTAATGAGTGATAAGACGGGATTTGAATCTGGACTATACAGAATAAAACAAGGAATTGTTGAACATTCAGTTATTTTGAGTAAATTATCAATGTAACTTGCTGATCATATAGAATAAGGGGAGATACTTACATACAATAAGTCAAAATAGAAAATAAATTTCTTCCTAAACTGCCAGACTTGAGCCATCTGGTTGACTTATGTGATCAGGCATTTAAGCTTTGCAAGTCTGCTCACATGGTCTAAGAAGGTCCTAGAGCACTTTACAAAGACTGTAGTACAACAAAAGGTATTCATGCATTTCTTCGACACTGCAGTGCAGACACAGGAAGAGATTTATGATAATACAATGAACAAATAGGTAAATTGTTGGAACATGTCACACGTCTGCCTCTTCGACCTGTTTGCTTCCTGAGTCAACATTTTTCTCTGCACATGGACACGTGGCCTCCATTGAATATGCCAAGTCTTTTCCCACCTCAAGGCCTTTGCATTTACTATTCTCATGGTCTGAAACTCTTCCCTAGGCCTCCACTGTGCTGATTGCTTCTTGTCATTCAACAATTAGCTTCAATGTTCCTTCTTCAGTGAGCCACTGCTGACCACCCTTGAAGCCCCTTCACCACCAGACTCCTGCTGACTGAAGACCCCTGCTCCCTAGCACCTTATTTGTTTCCTTCAGATCACTTGCCACAAGTTACAATTATCTATCTTGTTTATCTGCCTATTTGTTTGCAGTCATGCTTCTCCTACTGTGGAATGGAATTCCATGAAGACAGAGACCCCATCTTTTTGGGTCACGGCCGTACCCCCAGCTTCTGGAAAAATATCTGCCACTGAAGCGGTTATGAATTCATGAAAGGATGAACATACACATGAGTGGAGTTAATTGGCATTTTATACTTATTCTGAGAGTGAATTTCAGGGTTGGAAAAGGTGAGCGAGCACAGTTTTAAGAGAAAGAGATACCGTTCTTTAGATAAGCAGGGAGAATGTGAACATCTGATTACATTTAGGAGAAAGAACCATTACATGGTCTGTTACAGTTTGCCCAGGGGTCAGGACCCCGTGACTATTTCCCTCTCAGCTCACCTCATTGCCAAGTTCATCTGTGGGCTTCATGCCCACCAGAAGGGAAAGGCCCATGCCTCAGGGGTTCAATGGTTGAAACCACCTAAAGGTAACCAAAGTTAATGTGGAAATATCCCCGCAGGGCAGGAGGGGTTCATCTGCAGGAATCACATGGGTTGGGTGGTGAGAGTGAGTGTGGGCTCCAGATGCTATAGGATAAGGAAATAGGTATTCAAAGGGTAGTTTTCTGTAAAAAAATTTTATTTCACTTGTATTTATTCATTCATGTAAATAGGTAATATATGCCTCTACACATCCAACTTAAAAATATTCTCTTACTAGCAGCTTGTGTGTTTTTCCAGAGATATTCTACACTTTATGTGTGTATATATTCTTTTATTTAAAAATATAAATGGAGGAAAACAATTCCATTCACAATTGCATCAAAAGAATAAAATACCTAGGAATAAACCTAACCAAAGAGGTGAAAGACCTATACCCTGAAAACTACAAGACACTCATGAGAGAAATTAAAGAAGACACCAATAAATGGAAATATACACCATACTCATGGAGAAGAAGAATTGATATTGTCAAAATGGCCATCCTGTCTAAAGCAATATACAGATTCAGTGTAATCCTGATCAAAATACCAACAGCATTCTTCAGTGAACTCAAATAAATACTTCTAAATTCATATGGAGCCACAAAAGACCCTAAATAGCCAAAGCAATCCTAACAAGGAGAAACAAAGCTAGGGGGATCATGCTCCCCAATTTCAAGCTCTACTACAAAGCCACAGTAATCAAGACAATTTGGTACTGGCACAAGAACAGACCCATAGATCAATGGAACAGAATAGAGAGCCCAGATAGAAACCCACAAGTATATGGCCAATTAATATATGATAAAGGAGCCATGGATATACAATGGGGAAATGACAGCCTCTTCAACAACTGGTGTTGGCAAAACTAGATAGCTACAAGTAAGAGAATGAAACTGGATTATTGTTTAACTCCATACACAAAAGTAAACTCGAAATGGATCAAAGACCTGAATGTAAGTCATGAAACCATAAAACTCTTAGAAGAAAACATAGGCAAAAATCTGTTGAATATAAACATGAGCAACTTTTTCCTGAACACATTTCCTCAGGCAAGGGAAAAAAAACAAAAATGAACAAACAGGACTATGTCAAACTAAAAGCTTCTTTACAGCAAAGGACACCATCAGCAGAACAAAAAGGCATCCTATAGTATAGGAGAATGTATTCATAAATGACTTATCTGATAAGGGATTAACATCCAAAATATATAAAGAACTCATAAGCCTCAACACCCAAAAAGCAAATAACCTGATTAAAAAATGGGCAGAGGATATGAACAGACACTTCTCCAAAGAAGAAATTCAGATGGCCAACAGGCACATGAAAAGAGGTTCCACATTGTTAATTATCAGGGAAATGCACATTAAAACCACAATGAGAAATTTCCTCACACCAGTTAGGATGGCCACCATCCAAAAGACAAACGACAACAAATGTTGGCGAGGATGTGGAGAAAGGGGGACCCTCCTACACTGCTGGTAGGAAGGTAAATTAGTTTAGCCATTGTGGAAAGTTGGCTTTCCACAATATGAAGGTTCCTCAAAAAGCTCAAAATAGAAATACCATTTGATCCAGGAATTTCACTCCTAGGAATTTACCCAAAGAAAACAAGATCCCTGATTCAAAAACACATATGCACCCCTATGTTTATCGCAGCACTATTTACAATAGCCAAGAAATGGAAGCAACCTAAGTGTCCATCCGTAGATGAATGGATAAAGAAGATGTGGTACATATACACAATGGAATATTATTCAACCATAAGAAGAAAACAAATCCTACCACTTGCAACAACATGGATGGAGCTAGAGGGCATTATGCTCAGTGAAATAAGCAGGTGGAAAAAGACAAGTACCAAATGATTTCACTCATTTGTGGAGTATGACAGCAAAGCAAAACTGAAGAAACAAAACAGCAGCGGAATCACAGACTTTAAGAAGGGACTAGCCATTACCAAAGAGATGGGGTTGGGAGGATGGCTGGGGAGGGAGGGAGAAAAGGATTAAGGGACATTATGATTAGCACACATAATGTAGATGGGTCATGGGGATGGCAGTGTAGCATGGAGAAGACTAATAGTGACTTTATAGCATCAGTATGCTGATGGACAGTGACTGCAAGGGGGTGTTTATGGGGGGGACTTGATAATATAGGTGAGTGTTGTAACCACAATGTTGCTTATGTGAAACCTTCATAAGATTGTATATCAATGATACCTTAATATGTATGTGTGTGTGTGTGTATATATATATATATATATACACATATATATATATATATATTTCTATATATATGGTTAGCACATTCTACACACTATTGTGCAATCTGATCTTGAAAAATTGTCTTGGAAATCATTCCTCTTCAGGGCATATATAGATCTGCTCCAATATTTTTACCAGCTGCACAGTATTCTTATTTTGGGATATATACTTAATCAGCCATCTATTGATGAATTTTTGGTTGTTTCTAATCTTTCATTATTAAATACAATGCCTT